GATGACAGTCATGATTTAGAAGTCACCTTTATGGAAAGCCAACAGCACTGGTGATTACTTGCCCAGAGCCCCAAGGCATTTAGCAGGTGAGAGGCCAGCAGTGGAACATTCCTCTGAAAAGAGTAGTTGGGACGCTCTGGCATTTCCCCCTTCCACATCTGCTTCTGCTCCTTGGGGGAGGGTGGTAGAATGAAGTGCTTTTCTTTCTCCTCTGGACATGTGGAAAAAGACTTTAGGAGAAGAATTTGTAGGGCTTGACAGGTGTCATGTGCAAGGGCTTCAGTATCTGACACGTGTCTGGGTGATCTGGAGGTGAGAGGTGATGGCGGAAACAGCATTCACAGTGGGAGAGCAAGGGGGCTGCCCTGGGAGCCAACCGCCGATCCCCATAGGAGGGCAAGGGCGTGGGAGGTCAGTGGGTGTAGCCAAGTGCATCTACAGCTTGCAGCCACTGCAAAGCGTGCAGGGGCAAAGTGGCCCTAAGCAGAGAGGGAGCCAAGCCCCAGCTCTCACATAGACTGCGTTCGTAAGAATCACCGAAAGACCCTCCTGTGGCTGATGAAGTACACAGAGGCTGGAGCACAAAACCAGGCCCCCAGTCCAGCCTCCACTTACCATTCGTCTGATGCCTTGATTTACGGCACAAATATCATACGCACTTTGGCAGCTCTGGAGGGGCCGGGCTGTAAGCTGCTGGCCAGGGGCAACATCACCCCGAGACAAGGAAAGCTTGTCTCTGGAGAAACAGCCAGCTCAAAATTCCTGCTGAGCTCCCCTGTGGCTGGAGAATCTAGCTGCAGAGGTGTCAGATGCTGGGTCTGGGGAGAGGGGGGTGCGGGTGTGAAAAGAGGAGACTGTTGATGCCCCTTTCACAAGCCTGGAGGCAGAGGGAGCCTCAGGGTTGGATTAGCCAGACCTGGGGGTCTTTCACTGAAATGGGACTGCTCCAGTGGCTGCTCAAGGTTATGGAGCAGCCCAAGACTTTCTACGCACTGGGTGCAGGCTGGTGAGGAGGCACTGAGTCTGAATGACATTGGGAAGAACCCAGTTCCCTCTGCGTGCACCCTACGAGAAGGAAGTAGCTAACGAGGGGCAGTAGCACAGCGGCATCTCTATTCTTGCTTAGGAAAGCACAAGGCTTGACATAGATGGAGGAGTAGAGCAAAAAGACTAAGAGGCACGACTCTAGCTCCTCTCTTCCAATCTGTCTGTCTCTGCACTTTGCTTCCCGCCACATCATGATTTCACAGTTAATACGTAGAGCTGGGAGTGGAAGACAGCACATTTACGTTGGAGTGTTTGTGTCAGGCTCTCCTGCCAACTTCACAGCTGTCTCTCCTTCCTTGCAGTGTGTGTGTGTGTGTGTGTGTGTGTGCGTGTGCACAGAGCCATGGGCTGGACGGAGACGCAGATGGGTGAGCAGCCAAGTAGTGGAGCAGTCAATTAATTTTTATTGGGCATCTGCCTTGTGCCAGTTCGGGGACTAGGCAGCCAGGAATTCACCGCAAGAGAAGTGAATGCCCTGCTCTTTAAATAAGCCGGTTTTCAGATTTTTATTGGCATTGGACTTTTGACAATTTATTTTTACAGAGTCTTTTATGGGAAGTCTCAAGAGGTGGGCAGAGAAAGAAACACACGGGGAGGCCCCACGGCTTCTTCCAAGCTCACTGAGGTCCTCATTGGCTCACACCTCGTGCTGGACGTGGAGAAGCCACTCCCCAGTACACCAGGCTGCAAAGCGGAGGCCTGGAACAGGTCCTGCGGGGGACTCCTGGCACTGAAATGATTATTACTATTTTTTTTTTCAAATGAGATATCTTCCATATGCTGGTTCATTCCCCAAGAGCTCCCAACAGCAAGACGGGGACCGAGGCTGAAGCCGGGACCACAGTATTTAATCTCAGTTTTCCTCAAGGGTGGCAGAGACCCAAGCCCTTGGCCATTGCCTGCTGCCTCCCACACTGCTCATTAGCAGGCAGCTGGATTGGGGGCAGAGGAGCTGGGATTGCAACCCAGGCACTCCCACATGGGACACGGGCATCCCTAGTGGCAACTTCAACCGTTGCGCCAAGTGCCTGCCCCTGAAACAAGTATTCTGTTCTGAAAGTGGTTTTTATGTTTTACTATTTTTGTTTGCTTTTTAGTTAGCTGCTCTTCTGGGGTCCCAAGGCCAGATTAGAAAACTCTGAGCTTGAGCATGGGCCTTGGCGACTATGAAGAAACGACTGAGCCCTGAGATCCTGAGACCAAGCTGTCCCTTGGGGTCCTCTCTGATGGGGAGACGCCTTGTCTGAGAAGAGAAACCGCCTTGGCAATACGTTCTTACAGTTGTAAGAGAGGTGTGGGCCCCACCAGTAGACTGCCTGGCCCTCAGGTCCTTTCTAGAGGGCTCTGGGTGACCAGGGCCAGAGGCTCCAGACTCAGCAGTGCCTCGCTGTGCTGGTCCCCGCCACTCCTCCAGCTGAGCTTCCCCAGTGTGACCACTCGAGTGTCTGTCCCATTCGGAAGCCCTGTTGAAATGTGGTTGCCACGGTGACAGTGTTACCAGATGAGAGGGCCACAGGGCTCTGCCTCCATGGATGGGAGAAATGGCATCAGAGAAGGGTGGCTTGGACCCCTTTCGCCTCTCTGCCCTCTGCCTCGCCCCATGTGAGCACCTGATGTTGCCCACTCATAGCTGCACAAAATGGACAAAGACACAAGGCTCAGGGTGAGCTTGGGACGATGAAGTGGGACATAAGGAGGCAGTATTTTGGGGGTAGGAGTGCAGCAGGCAGGGGTCAACCAGGAAACCCTTCAGTCAGTCTGGAAAGGAGACCTGGAGGGGTGGACGAGGAGAGGCAGAGCTGAGGCCAGGGCTGGAGGACCAGGAGTGGGGGCCAGGCCTGCCCCCGGGAGCCTGAGTCTGGGGCTGTGGTGGGCAACTCCAAGGTTGAGTTTCCAAGTCCATGGGGAGAGGGAAAGTCAGCAGCCAGGTCTCTGGCATCTGGTGTGGGATGAGTGTGACGGGCCTTATGCATGGAGTACAGCCAGTCCCACTGCCTGCAGTACAGAGCTGGAGCGTGCACTGGGGCCTATGCTCAGAGACACACAGCGAGAGACAGCAACAGCAAGCGCAGAGACCCCGCTGCAGTCACAGTCGAGAGAAGTGTTAGGACGGGACCTCCGGAAAGGCTGGACTTGCACTGCCAGGCCTCGTGCTGGACGCCCCTGTCCTTTGTCTCAGGAACACCCACGCCCTCTGCCTTCAGTTATTCAGTCCCAAGACAGCGACCCCTTGCACCGCTGCTAACTGCAGAGACACACGGCAGAGTCCCAAACTTCAGAGTTCCGTGAATTTTTCACTAGTAAAAAATCAGAAAGCCAAGAGGAGCCTTCCGGGAGAGTGGCCAAGCAGGCGGTCGGGGGAAGGGTGAGACCACAGGGTCCCCTCCCATTCATGGTTTCCCAGTGCTGTGAGCAGAAATTCTTCCCCGCCACGTGTCCCCTCCGTGAGGACATGGAGTCACGTCTAACAGTTTGATTCCTTCCTGCTGCCTGTATCTGTGGAAGGCTGCCCATGTGCAGAACCCCGATAGTGGACACAGGAAATGGAAGAAATGGCAGAACCAGGGGCCACCCTTATGGGAGGGATCCCACCCTGGCAACTGCACAGCTCATGAGCAGGGCTCTTGGCTGCCGTAGGATGACATGGCATCTTATGGGGAGAAGGTAGCTCCTGTCAGTGAGTCAGGCAGCAGGAAGCCGGCCCTGGTGTCTGGACAGAGGCTCACCATTGCTTCTGAGACGCTATTTAGCCTAAGCAGGTGGCTCTCTCTGGGGACCAGGATGGTAGGGTTTAGGCTAAGAGCAGCAGGATTTGTCATAACTTCTAGGAGACTGGACCCACCAAGGCGGGTCTGGCTGGGGCTGGTGCTGTGGTGTAGGTGGTAAAGCCACCACCTGCAGTGTCAGCATTCCATCTGGATGCCAGTTTGAAACCTGGCTGCTCCACTTCTGATTCAGCTCTCTGCTATGGCCTGGGAAAGCAGTGGAAGATGGCCCAAGTCCTTGGGCCCCTGCACCCGCGTGGGAGACCTGGAAGAAGCTCCTGATTCCTGGCTTCGGACTGGCACAGCTCTGGCCGTTGCAGCCATCTGGGGAGTGAACCAGTGGATGGAAGACCTCTCTCTCTCTCTCTGCCTCTCTGTAACTCTGCCTTTCAAACAAAATAAATAAATCTTTTTTTTTTTTTTAAAGAATCTGACTGTAACCGAGCCCATGCCTGCTCTTTTCCATGATTAACAGCTTCGCTACTTTCTGTGTCTGTTGAAGGTTGCAAGAACCAGAGCGACATGGTCAGGGGTTGAAGACGATCAAACCTCCAGCAGCGGCTGGAATGACTGGAAGACTTTGTCTTCTTGCACACCCTCACCATGAGGCGGTCACATAACCAACTCTGTATTTCCTTAAATAAGTTTGGGTCTCCTTTTCTAATCAGGGGAGGTTGGATGTGAAGGCATCCCTGGTCTCTAGCAGCCTGAATCTACTCTTTCCCGCAAATCCTTGTCCTGAGTTATTGCATCCTGTTGTGATGATAAAGGGACTTGGGTTAGATGACACGGCTTCCCGTTTTCAGGGAAAGCCTACACCTTGAATTCCCTCTGCCCTCACCATCGTAGCTAACGTTGCCTGGACTGACCCAGTACCCAACTGAGTTCTGTTCTGACACAGGCCTATCCATCCTGCGCTCATACAGCAAGCCTGCCTTTTGGGAAAATTCTGTAGCTGGCTTCACGGCAGGCCTGGGTCAGGCACCCGCCCCTGGAAAGCACAGTCCTCAGTGCTTCAGGGCGTGGGGAAGCCTCGGAGTGCTGCTGGCACGAGCCCGGCCAGGGAGAAGGGTCAGTTCACCGCGGTGGGCCAGAATCCGCCAGGAATCCACCATCCTCTGGGGACACAGCAGTGCGTCGGTGGACCAGCAGGGGGAGGCATTGCCGACTCCAGGCTCGACAGCAGAGGGCGCGCTTGCGCAGAGCGAGGCCCCAGTGCGCAGGCTCGCAGCTGCCTCTGGACTTGGACAGCGACGGGCGATGGCGTGAACCCGACTGCAGAGGCGGTTGGGGCAGGCCGGGCGGGACCGGCCAGGTGGGGAATGGAGGCCGGGGTCGGCGCAGGGCTGAGGTGGCGAGGCCTTCCTCTCAGCCGGGGACGGAGGCCGTGGGTGTGCAGGGGCCCCCCGCTTCTGCGCGTGGCCCGAGGCCGGGAGGGGGAGGCGAGGGCCTGCCGAGGCCTGAGGCGGGGAGCCGGCCCGTGTGGACACCCTGTGTGCCGGCTGTTGGGTCGGGACACTGGCTCTGTGGCCGAGGCGGGGATGGCACCCGAGGAGGAGCGTGGAGCCCACGTCGCTGGGGTTTGCCGCCATCGGGGTGCCGGGGCCTGGCAGGTCTCGGGGGGCCAGAACTCCACCTGCTGACTCCAGGGCCGGCGAGGGGTGAGGGGCCCCCGGAGAAGCAGGCTATGACCTCATGAGCCCGAAGCAGCTGGTTTGGACACCCTCTGTGTGCCGGGTGCTGTGCCAGGAGCTGGGAATGGCGGCCAGGGAGGAGCGGAGACCTGGGGCCTCTGCCTTCATAGCGTGGGCGCCGGGTTCTGTCCCGGTCGGGGCGCCGGATTCTGTCCCGGTTGCCCCTCTTCCAGGCCAGCTCTCTGCTGTGGCCCGGGAGTGCAGTGGAGGATGGCCCAAGTGCTTGGGCCCTGCACCCCATGGGAGACCAGGATAAGTACCTGGCTCCTGGCTTCGGATCAGCGCAGCGCCGGCCGTGGTGACCATTTTGGGAAGTGAACCAGCGGAAGGAGGATCTTTCTCTCTGTCTCTCACTGTTTATAACTCTACCTGTCAAATACATTAAAAAAAAAAGGGGGGGGGGGGAAGAAAAAAAGTGGAAATCAAAGAGAAATTGATTTTGGTGCAAAAAAAATCTTTGAAATCCATGCAAGGTTTGTTCATAACATGCATTTTCCATGAACGTTTTGAAAACTCTTCGTGTACCTGGCTTTCAAAAAAAATTTTTTGCACAGAAATTAACTAATTTTTAAAATTCTGTTTCCCACAGATCTATTCAAGTACCCTTGTACTCCACTGGGAGCACCAGTGTCACAGGCAGTGTTACTTCACCTGATGTGCCACAACACCAGCCCCTCAATCTGCTTTTTTTTTTTTTTTAAAGATTTATTTATTTATTTGAAAGAGTTACAGAGAAAAGGAGAGGCAGAGAGAGAGAGGTCTTCTATCCGCTGGTTCACTCCCCAGATGGCCGCAATGGCCGGAGCTGCGCCAATCTGAAGCCAGGAGCCAGGAGCTTCTTCTGGGTCTTCCATGTGGGTGCAGGGGCCCAAGGACTTGGGCCATCTTCTACTGCTTTCCCAGGCCACAGCAGAGAGCTGGATCGGAAGTGGAGCAGCCGGATCTCGAACTGGTGCCCATATGGGATGCTGGCACTTCCGGCCAGGGCGTTAACCTGCTGCGCCACAGCGCCAGCCCCTCAATCTGCTTTTTAAGAGCTTCCCAAGTGACTGATTGCCATTAACATGGGATACTGTTGGTACAAATCAGTCCTTTTCAATCCTGTGTGTTAGAATCATCTTTTAATTAGCTTCTTATAACTACCTGTGCTCTAGAGTCACCCTGTGGGTTCTGATTTAATTGGCCTGGGTAAGGCCTGGACAATCGTAGTTTTTGAAAAGCTTCTCAGGTGATTCTAGCATGTAGTTAGATTTGAGAATCGCTGGCATGAGTGATCAGCTAGATTTCCCTTCTTAGTTTAGTTACTGCTGAATTTAAAATGGACATACATGGCTTCAGGCAGCATCTTATCATCAGGAAAATGAAAAAGAATTAGCATTTCTGAGCTTCCCCCAGTACAGATGTTCAATCTGATAATCAGGTAATCATGAGGAGAAGTGAATTAACGATTTGATTAGATTAGCATTCCTCCCTCACACTAGGCAGTGAAGATTTGAAGTGTACCTTGGGAAGGAGAATGCTTTATTTGTAATCTCAGTATTTCGGCAACTCTGGGAGCTGTATATTGTTCCCACTTTGTAGCTGAGAATTTGGGGACTAAGGGAAGTAACTTGTACAAGATTTTAAAACTAATTGTGTAAAGTCCCAAAGGCTAGGTTCCATTTCTTCAGTGGTTTTCAAATTTGGCCTCACTTGAGGATCACCTGAGGAATTTAAAAACTGACTGATATTCCATTCTCAGGAGATTCTGATTTTGTTGATGTGGTTTGGTCTGCAATTGGAATTTTGCAAAGATTTCCAGCTAACTCCAATGTGCAGCTGAATTGGAAAGTGTGGATTATACCAGGGAGCTTCCTGGTGGCCTAAATTATTTTTCTTTTACTCAGAGCGTCGTTGTGTAGACTGGGTTCTTTGCCTTCATACATTCAATAGTGTGCTTTCTTCTCCTTTTTATTATCCTTTCTTTCCTTTTGTATGTACTAGGAGTATGGGATGAAGTTCATAGTTTTAGCACTTGTTGAAAGCACTGTATTGTCTTGGCGCCTTTCCCTCAAGTCACTTGAGCTGATTTGTGAATTATTTCTGACCTTTTTTGCTGAGGTTAATTTCTTTTCTCTAATACCACATTGTCTGTATGTTCCATTTTCCTATTTCTGTTCATTATAAGGAGGTCCTAATTGGTGAAATAAAGGGAAAAAAAGATACAAAAGTACATGGATTAAAATGGAATAAATGAAATTATCTGTATTTGCAGACAACATGATTGTTCATATAGGAAGTCTCAAGGAATCTACAAAAAAGCTACTAAACATAATAATTGACTGTAGGGGCTGGTGTTGTGGTAAAGTGAGTTAAGCCATTGCTTGCGATACCAGCATCCCAGATTGGAGAGCCGGTTTGAGTCCCAGCTACTTTGCTTCTGACCTAGCTCTCTGCTAATGTGCTTGGGAAAACGGTGGATGAGGGTCTAAGTGCTTTTGCCCCTGCAACCCATGTGTGAGATCTGGATAGAGTTCCTGGCTCCTGGTCTCAGCTGTTGTGGCCATTTGGGAAGTGAACCAGTGGGTGGAAGATCTCTCTTGCTCTCTTCACTCTGCCTTTCAGATAAAATAAATAAATAAATCTTCAGAAAACAACTGACTTTAGCAAAAACACAAAGATATGAGGTCAATCTTCAAAAATCAGTTCTATTTTTCAATACTTCTAATGAGCAATTAGGAATTAAAGCTTAAAAAGTATCATTTACAATGGCATCAGAAACAGGAAAAACATGAGGTTAAATCTAATGACGTTCTGCAGTATTTGAACATAGAAAACAATAAAACATTACAGAAGGTAAAACCAAAATAAGTGGAGAAATAAATTGATTCTCTTTGATAATATTTTGTTGAGGATTATTTTGTATATGTATTTGTGAAGGATATTGGTTTATAAATATTGATTTTTAGTATCAAGGTTAGTGATTGTTTCATAAAATTAGTTAGTGGCCTGGGAGGGCAGTGGAGGATGGCCCAAGTCCTTGAGCCCTGCTCCCGCATGGGAGACCAGGAGGAAGCACCTGGCTCCTGGCTTCAGATCAGCGCAGCGGCAGCCATAGCAGCCATTTGGGGGGTGACCCAATGGAAGGAAGACCTTTCTCTCTGTCTCTCTCACTCTCTCTCTCACTCACTGTCTAACTCTGCTGGTCAAAAAATTAGTGATTATAATATTGATTTTTAGTATCAAGGGTAGTGATTATTTCATAAAAGTAGTTGGGAAGTGTTCTCTATTCTGTTTCAGGAACATTTTGTGTGGAATTGTTATTCTTTAAAGGTTTGGTTGTGTATACGAGGGAGCTGCCTGAGCCCAGTTTCAAGTGTTGGTTTTATACTTGGACTCAGTTTTATACTGTGACTATTGAGGTTATATATGCTATTCAGTTCTTTTTGAGTGAGTTTTAATTCTTGATATCTTTCAAGGAGTTAGTCCTTTTAATCTGTTTTACTAAACTTGAAGTACAGTTTTTTATAACACTTTTATCCTTGTGATGCCTCTGATGTTAGGGTCTGTAGTGTAGTTCTGTTTTTCATTTCATTCCTGATTTCGGTTGTTTGTGTCTTCCCTTATTCCCTCATTCTGTTGCCCTCCTTCCCATTTATCTTCCTCCCCTCTTTCTGTACCTGTCCTTGTTTCTGTCAGTATTCTTGCCTGTAGTTCCACTGTCTAACACAGCCATGCTTAACCAAATATGGCTATTTAAATGGAAGTTAATTTAAATAAAATGAAATCAAAATTGAGCCCCTCGGTCACACAGGCCACATTTTGAGTGCTTGTAGTCACATGTGCTACCATACAGGGCATTGCAGTGAACGTTCCGCGGGACAGTGCCAGTCTAGAGGTCAATCATTTCTCTTGTTTTTGGCAAGGATCTGCTTTTGGCTTCATTGGTTTTTCTTTGCTTTTTTTCTATTTTCCAATTTGTTGATTGCTGCTTTTTATTATTTCTCTCTTTTTGTTTGCTTGCTTTGGATTTAATTTCCTCAGGTGAGTACTTAAATCATTAGTTTGAAACCTCTGATTTCCCCCCAGTATAAATATTTAATACTGTACATTTTTCTCTAAGCACAATTTTAGCTGCATCCACAAATTTTCCATTCAATTGAAAATATTTAATAATTTTCTGTTTTAGTTTTTGAGTTTGAAGCTGTTCAGAATGTCTTTTCTTGTATTTGTCTTATCTAGTCTTTACTCCTCTTTCCTCTGTTTCCCATCTTTTGGCTTACAGTTTTCTATGTCTTCATTTTATTTCATTACTGGCTTCTGCTGCTGCTGCTCTTCCCCTTCCTCTCACATACTTCTTCTTAGTGGTTGCTGTAGGCGTCACAATAGTTTATCATGGTCTATTTTCAAATAATACCATTCCACTTCACATACAGTATCATAACCTTCCAACAGTGCATCCCACATAGACCTTATGCTACGATGTCATTTTACTTGTACATATGCTGTAAGTACAGCAGTATAATTGTTGCTGTTTTTGCTTTCAGCAGTTATCTTTTTAAACTCTTGTTCTCACGGCTTTTGAAAAAAACTTTACTATGTAGCCTTTATTTTTTTGAAACAATTTTAAATTTATAGACAAACTGAATGGATAGCACAGATAATTCCTATACATTCCCTCATCCTCAAGGTTTGTCTTATTACTAATATTTTACATTAATTTGGTGCATTTGTTAAAAATAATGAAGCAATGGCTGTCCGTTATTATTATCTACAGTTCAGAGTTTACACTAGGTTCACTTTTGTATTGTACATTTCTGTGAATTTTTCCAAAATCTGTAATGTCATGTATTCACCTTTACAGTGTCATACAGAGTAGCTTTATTGTGCTAAAAATTCTCATGCCTCCACTTGTCTCTCTCTCTCTCTTTTTCTCTCTCTTTTAAGATTTATTTATTATTTGTAAGGCAGAGTTACAGAGAGGCAGAGGCAGAGAGAGAGAGAGAGAGAGGTCTTCCATCTGCTGGTTCACTCCCCAAGTGGTCGCAACAGCTGGAGCTGGGCTGATCCAAAGCTAGGAGCCAGAGCTTCCTTCAGGCCCCAACCTGGGGTGCAAGTCCTTGGGCCATCCTCTCTACTGCTTTCCCAGGCCATAGCAGAGAGCTGGGTAGGAAGTGGAGCAGCCGGGACTAGAACCGGTGCCCATATGGGATGCCGGCACCGCAGGCGGGGGATTAACTTACTGCGCCATGGTGCCGGTCCCATGTAGTTTATTCTTGTATTTTCAATATTGAATCCCTAGCACCTAGTTCAGCATAGATGTGGAATTTGAAGAATAGAGTGCCTACTGAGCGACAGTGACAGTGATTGGATGAATAATAATATGTCAAAGTTATGAAAACTCCAGTGGTCTAATAGATAATCTCTTGCCTTTTGTGTTTGACCAGGTGAACAACAGTTGTGTGCTGGCACCCAGGATACTGAGTAAGCCCTCTGCTTGTCGACAGCAGGACACGAAGGCTCAGTATCTGCAGAAGCAGTTTCCCCGTGTCTAATTCGGGCTGGGGGACAGCATGTCTTCACCTGAGGATGTCAGAAGAGAACCTGGTGTGTTCGCCTCCAGTGTCTACCTAGCGGTGTGGGAGTAGGGAGCTGGAGCAGTGCTTAGGACCACTTGTGGATCTGCTCTCCTGAGGAGGCTGAGCCTCGGGGTCTGGGACCTGGAAGCCTCTGTTCTGATTTCTGTAGAGTCCGCAGGATGAGACTGCAGGGTTTGACTTTATCTCTTTCAAATAACACCTTTTTCCATGATTATAAATATAACAGGCTTACTGTGAAGAGAACGTAAAGAAGACAGTAAGACTAGAAATGACCTGATAGTCTGCCACAAAGCTCTGCCTGTTTCCATACGTTTCTTAGCTGTGACCTTAGGGCGCACACACCTGCGAAGCTTTCGGTGCACGTTGCTGGCGCGGTGTCCTGGTGAGGGGCGAGCTGCCTTGCAGACGCCCTAGCGTGGTCATCGTGGAGTCTCAGCGTAGTAGCCTTCACTGCAGCACACCTCTTCTCAGCTCCTCTCCCCTCTCTGCTGTGCCCTCTGGGTCGGTAGTGCTGGCCCCCTCTACAGTGTCCTCCCTTCCTTTATTGAGGCACAAACTTAATAAATAAAAAGCAGGTGTATTTAAGGTATGCAACTTGATGTTTTGGTACACGCATCTACATTGTGAGACAGTCATCACAGTCCATCTGATTAACATATCCAATACGTCACATAGTTGCCTTTTTCTTTCCTCTTTTTGTAATGACAACACTGGAGATCTGTCCTATTAGCAAATTTTAAATATGCAATTGTGAAATTTAGGTACCAAGTTGTATGCTGAGTCTCCAGACATTTGCTCTTGCATAACTATACTTTGTAGCATTTGACCAACTCCCCCCTAGGCCTTGGCAACTACTGTTCTATTGTCCGCTTTTGTAAATATCACCATTTTAGATTCCACATGTAAGTTAGATCATTCAGTGTTTATTTTTCTGTGTCTGGCTTATTTCACTTAGCATAATGTCCTCCAGGTTCATCCATGTTGTCATAATGGCAGGATGTCCTTCTTTGTTATGGCAGAATAATAACCTCTCAGAAAAAAAGAAGAAAAGACTAGAAAAACATGATCTTATACATAGGGGAATAAAAAGGCTCCACTAAGAGACAATCGAAGCTCATAAGAGACTTTGGTAAAGTTGCAGGATATAAAATCTTATTTTTGCAAAACTTGAAGAAAAAGAAGGAGAGGGATTGCGGGAGGGAGAGAGGAAGTATGGTTATCTTCTTAGAATTATACCTGTGAGGGGCCGGCATTGTGGTATAGCAGGTAAAGCCACTGGCGACTATTTACTATCTTTTCAAAGATTTATTTGAAAATCAGAGTTACACAGAGAGAAGGAGAGGCAGGGAGAGCGAGGTCTTCCATCCTCTGGTTTACTCCCCAGTTGGCCGCAGTGGTCGGAGCTGTGGCGACCGAAGCCAGGAGCCTGGAGCTTCTTTCAGGTCTTCCATGAGGTTACAGGGGCCCAAAGACTTGGGTCATCTTCTGCTTTCCCAGGCCTTAGCAGAGAGCTGGATCGGAAGTGGAGCTTCTGGATCTTGAACCAGTGCTCATATTGGATGCCAGCACTGCAGGCGGTGGTTTGCTTGCTACGTCACAGGCCTGGCCCCTGTCTTTTCAAATTGATTTTGTAATATGCCATGTCACACAATTTTTAAATCATGATATTTAAGGCTGTCATGGTATGGAAAACAGTACTCTGAGTGTTTCAGTTCTGAGATCAGAGAAAGATGTCTCCTGTGGCTTTTTTTTTTTTTTTAGTGTGCTATAATCTATTTAAATTTCAAACTAAATGCACATAGGGTAAAACTTCAAAGAAATGTGTGAGAATGATAAGAATGATAAACATTTCTTTCAGGATAGTGCTTGTCTCAGTGGGAGGTGAGCACACAGAGATACTGACTAAATTTTATATCACAGTTTTATCAAGGATAGGCAGTTTTATCTATTAAGGATTCCTGTGGCTTCTTATCTGATTCTGTGCTGTGAAATTAATAAAATTATTAGCAACAATCATTAATAATCTTAGCCTTGAATTTCCCTTGGATGATGCATATAACCTTTAAAAAGCCTGAAGCAACCTTCCATATAGATTAATATTATTTATGAAATGTAAATAATATAAAAATTAAGGTGAGCCTTTGGTAATAACACACTTAGTAGAAAAGTAGACCCTGAGGCACAGAACTGTATTCTGTATATTCTGGTGCATAGGTTCTGCAGGCTGTATGTATTCAGGATGTATCTGATGAGCACCTTCTCGAATAACATGGTGATAATACGCAACCTGAGTAGTACGGTTGCAAAGGCCCCAGATCAACTTCCTGTGCATACTCTTTGAAAGCAGGATCATCTTTGCTGTGTGTGTTCAGAACTGTGGGGAACAGAGATGAATATGCTAGGCGATACAGAGGAGTGACTGACACACAGGAAGCAGGCAGACTCCCGCAGGCGGCCTGGCCTTCCTCACGGAACTCCACCTGTCCTGCGGTGTGGTCCTTCCACCTCCTCAGTTCTTTCCTTCTCTTTGTCCAGGAAAACATGATGGCAGACACGCGGGTGCAGACGACCTGAATTTGCCTTCTTCCAGTCAGAAAAGGACTCCTGACTCACAGGTAACACTCACAGGAGAGGATCTCTGCCAACCGTTGGTAGCTAACACCTCGCCACTCACCGAACTCTGTGGGGAGTAGGGGTTTATCTTGTTCTTCTCACCACAGTGATTTCTCAGTCACTTGACGGCTGACAGTCACCAAAGTAGAAGATTGAAAGTCTTAGAAGTTTGAAGAAAGCTTCTTTCAAGGCTGCTCTGAAATTTTACTTTTTTTTTGATGTCTGTTTTGTTTTGTGTAACTAATTCAGATAGAAAATAAATTTCACATGAGCTCTGAAGCACCTTTAGATGTGTTGATGATGAATGTTTTCATTGATAGAGACGATCTGATGCAGTGTTTCCAAACCCTGGGAAAGTAGATGGCTGTGAAAAACCTGGCTAAAGCCTCCTAACACACCTGCCCTTTGGAGGCGCTGCCAGAATTACAGCACAAAAAGGGAAATGCATTTTAATTTTGTGGGGTCCTTGGATATGTATTTATTTATTTATTTGACAGGTAGAGTCATAGACAGTAAGAGAGAGAGACAGAGAGAAAGGTCTTCCTTCCATTGGTTCACTCTCCAGATGGCTGCTATGGCTGGAACTGCGCCGATCCAGCCAGGAGCCAGGTGCCTCCTCCTGGTCTCCCATGTGGGTGCAGGCGCCCAAGCACTTGGGCCATCCTCCACTGCCTTCCCAGGCCACAGCAGAGAGCTGGACTGGAAGAGGAGCAACCGGGACTAGAACCCGGAGCCCATATGGGATGCCGGTGCCGCAGGTGGAGGATTAAGCTAGTGAGCCACGGTGCTGGCCCAGTCCTTGGATTTTTTTCTTTCATCTTGTGAACTAGAGGTTTGATACTTCCATACTGCTGCTGTCATTACACACACTTCCTGTGAGTTCCAGCAGTAATGGAGATAAAAAAAAAAAGTACCTTCACTTTCCTAACTCAACTGCCACCTCACTCAAGGCTGGCAGGATTGCTGCTTTTATATTATTACATTTTAAAAAAGTTATTAATTCAATTTTTTTTGACAGGCAGAGTGGACAGTGAGAGAGAGAGACAGAGAGAAAGGTCTTCCTTTTCCGTTGGTTCACCCCACAATGGCTGCTGTGGCCAGCACACCGCGCTGATCCGAAGCCGGGATCTAGGTGCTTCTCCTGGTCTCCCATGCGGGTGCAGGGCCCAAGGACCTGGACCATCCTCCACTGCACTCCCGGGCCACAGCAGAGAGCTGGACTGGAAGAGGAGCAACGGGGACAGAATCTGGCGCCCCAACCAGGACTAGAACCCGGTGTGCCAGCACCACAGGCGAAGATTAGCCTAGTGAGCCGCAGTGCCGGCCTATTAATTTAATTTTAAAGATTTTATTTTATTTGAAAGGCAGAGAAAGGGAAAGAGTGAGAGAAAAAGACATGTTTCATCCACTGGTTCACTCCCCAAGTGACTGCAGTGGCCAGGAGCCAGGAAATCTATCTGGGTCTCCCACATGGGTGGCAAGGACACAGCACTTAGGCCGTCTTCTGCTGCTTTCCCAGGCACGTTAGCAGGGATCTAGATTTGGAAGCAGAGCAGCTGGAAATAGAATTGGCATTCTCCTAGGAGATGCGGGTGTCACAAGTGGTGACTTAACCTGCTGCACCTCAACACCAGCCCCTAAGAGTGCTGCTTTTTAGAAACAAAACTGTAGCTTGATTATTTTCTCCTGCAGCATTCTGTCCATTCTGTTAGGTGTAAAGAGGACTTCATGGTCAGCATCACACCCTTGGGTGGGATTCTCTGACTGTTGGTGCAGTATTGGGTTCTCAGTCCATTGTTCGATACATTATATTTTCTCATCATAATGCTTTTCCACTTGAATACAAGGATCTGAAAGTCAGGAGCTTCGCAGAATGTCCCGAGTGGATATATATATATCTCCACTTTATCTGTCTCTACTTGACTCCTTTCTAGAACTGAGTGCATTTTGTCATTTAATTTCTGTGTTTAGTTTTTGCTGAATTTTATGATTTGGCCTATTTAAGATGAGTCTTGACATTTTTACTTTCCTTGTATCTTAGAATATTCCTGGTTGGTTTTTGGAGTGTGTTTGAAAAATTAGCTGATTGTATCAGGATTTGCTTTTCTTGCATTTCTTGAACAGTTTGATATTGTGGCTACTTCATGTCATTTCAGATGATACTGTCCTCAGGAATTTCCTAGACTCATAGATTTGTAGGTGCTTAGACTGGAAGACAGTTAAATATATTTTTTTAAAAAAATTAACACTCATTTTATGAGTGAAGAAACTGAGATCCAGAAAGCTAAATATTTGTTTATGATCCCACAGTTCTTCAGCTACAAAGGGAGAAAAGAAACCGTTCCCTCTCTCTTTGTAGTACTGATTTCATTTTGTCCTCACAAGTCCTTGGTATATGCAGTGTAGAAAAACTAACTTAGGCGTCTCTGAAGAAAATTCTCGAAGCTTTTAAAATTTGACATTAATTCGATTCAGTGAGCAATCTCCAGAAGACCTGGCATCTTGATAATTTATTGTATTTCTCCTTGTTACTTCTTGGTATTGTTAGCCAGATCACATGTCATTCAGTCAGATGTTTTACAGTGCTAAGCGAGCCTTCAATTTGAATTGCAGTCATCCTGAACCATTTGTGTCTTTGGAAACTATAATCAAATTGATTTGAAGCATGACTTGAAAGATGTCAGGTTTAAATTGTTTTAGGACTTCTTGCTCACGTGATGACACTTTTTCTAAGTAATTGAGTTGTACTCAAATGACTTGTATATTTTTTAAGATTTATTTATTTGTTTGAAAGGCATAATTATAGAAACATAGAGGGACAGACAGAGAGATCTTCCATCTGCTATTTCACTCCCCAAATGGCCACACAGCTCGAGCTGAGCCAGTTTGAAACCAGGAGCCAGGAGCTTCTTCTGGCTCTCCCACATGGGTGGCTGGGGTCCAAGGACTTGGGCCATATTCCATTGCTTTCTCAGGCACATTAGAAGGGAGCAGGATCAGAAACGGAGCAGCTAGGACTTGAACCAGTGTCCATATGGGCTGCTGGCATCGCGGATGGTGGCTTTACACATTACACCACCACAATGCCACAAAGTTGGCCCCACATATGACTTTTTTTTAGCATGTCTTGTAGGAGAGGAGAGGGATGATGTTGGTATGATAGCACTGTCCCACTTCTTTTCCTCCATCACAGTTCTTTTCCACAAGCTTGCCATTCCAGTTTTAATTATCCTGAAATTAAGTTTTACAGATTTGTTTTGTCAGTCATAAATTGATTTTCAGGATTAGGTCAACTCTGTAGAGCTCATTTCATCTAATTTTGTTGGTTAGCTATGTAATTTAATGAGAAGAAATCTTAGGAGGGCATTTTTCCTGTGATATTTCAAAATAAGACAATTTAATAGATATGCACTAAACAAATTCAAAGAGAGCTGATGTAGCTATGGTAATAGCAACAGAGACTTAACACACAGAATGCATTAGACACTAAGAGGTTGCTGTATAATGCTAAACTTTTAGTTCATAAGGAAGGTAAATTAAACATTTCTCATGTGTAAGCATCAACTAATAGCTCCAAAGTTTATGAAACAGTACAGTAGACCTCTTCATGGGGATACATCCCAAGACCCCCAGTGGATGCTTCAATCCACAGATTCTTCTAAATCTTATATAGACAGTCTCTGACTTAATGATGATTTGACTGACAGTTTTTTAACTTTAGGATGATGCAGAGTAATGTGCATTCAGTGGAAACTGGACTTTGAATTCTGAATTTTCATCTTTTTTGGGGGCTAAAAATATTCAGCACGAAGCTTTCTTGTGATGCTGCCATGTAATCCTGAGGATAAACAGCTTGATTTTCAACTTATGATTATTTTCAACATATGTTGGGCTTATGAGGACTTACCCTGTTGTAAGTCAAGGAGCATTTGTATTTACCATTTTTTTCTTATACATACATGCTTCTGATAAAATTTTTTTTGACAGGCAGAGTGGACAGTGAGAGAGAGAGAGACAGAGAGAAAGGTCTTCCTTTTCCATTGGTTTACCCCTGCCAATGGCTGCTGTGGCTGGCGCGCTGTGGCCGGCGCACCACGCTGATCTGAAGCCAGGAGCCAGGGGCCTCCCCTGGTCTCCCATGCGGGTGCAGGGCCCAAGGACTTGGGCCATCCTCCACTGCACTCCCGGGTCACAGCAGAGAGCTGGACTGGAAGAGGAGCAACCGGGACAGAATCCGGCGCCCCGACCAGGACTAGAACCCGGTGTGCTGGCGCTGCAGGAGGAGGATTAGCTTATTGAGCAGCGGCGCCGGCCCTGATAAAATTGAGAATATTTCTTAATGATTTATTTATTTTGGAAGTCAGAGTTACAGAGAAAAAGGGATAGACAGAAAGAGATCTTCCATCTGCTGGTTCACTACCCAGATGGTCTCAGTAGCCTGCACTGGGCTGGACTGAAGCCAGGAGCTTCATCTGGTTCTCTGGTGTGAGTGGCAGAGGCCCGAACGCTTGCTTTTCTCAGCCGTTAGCAGGGAGCTGGATCAAAAGTGGAGCAGCTGAGACAATGTTTTTAATGCATAGCTGTATCATATTAATGCGTAATTAGATAAACATTACATCATTTATTCCTAATTCAAATGAAAAATTCATTTAATTTCTGTAGAAAATTCCCAAAGTCCTTTTTGTGTGCATGAGGTTTGATCAGATAATTCAAAAACTTATTTGGAAAAACAGAAGGCTAACAATAGGCAAGACAGTATTAGCAAAAGAAGGAAAATGTATATATGTGATAGAAGGGTGACTAGCAATGCATGTTATCAAGACCTCTTATAAAGCTTTAATAATTAAGAAAATGTAGAAGTAATATAGGAATTGGCAAATAAGATCAATGAAAGAACATAGAAAGTCTAGAGAAAGAGTGATGCATCTATGGGAAGTTTATGGCAGATAGCATTGCATATCAGTGGTGATAGAATAGTCTGTTCAATTAATGGTGCTGGTCTAACTGGCTATTCCATTAGGAAAAATACAACTGTGTTACTACCTAGAAGTAAAGGATAACAAACTCTTTCCTGCTTTATAAGAAACCTCTTGTTTCTCTGAAAGCTAGATGAGTGTGGAATATCAGCTGTGTTGCCAGCATCGGTTATAACAAAAATAATTCCAGGATTGGAAATCCTGTGACAAGGATGATAGGTGTCAAATTGAGAGTATAGGTGAGGTGTTCTTTGAATGTGGGAAAGTCCCATGCTGCAGTCCTTAGAGATTAAATTCAAGGACTGTTATGGAAGATACTGGTTCTTGTGCACATGAGACCTGTAAGCCAGGGAGACTCCTGAACCCACTCTTGTGGTTTCCCTGCCTTGCTCTTAGCTGACCTTGTTGGCAGTAGGATGCCTGATGTTTATGCCTAAGGCTGTCATGCTGATTTGTTGTGCCATCTCTTCTTACGCTTCCACAAAGTTTACCTGGTACCAGGTATAACCTCTTGGATCTTGTGAATGGCAAGGTGAATGGAAGATCATTGTTGGTGGTTGTGTAATGGGCCAGGTACCCTGTACCCTGAAATTGATTCTAGATGGATTAAATCCCCAAATGTGAAAAGCAAAACTTAGATTTTAGAAAAATTTATGTGAGAAGTGTGTTTTCTTACTCAACAAATGAAAATATTTTTAAAAAATTACTAACATGGCTGGCGCCGCGGCTCAATTGGCTAATCCTCCGCCTGCGGCGCCAGTACACCGGATTCTAGTCCCGGTCGGGGCACTGGATTCTGTCCCGGTTGCCCCTCTTTCAGTCCAGTTCTCTGCTGTGGCCCGGGAGTGCAGTGGAGGATGGCCCAAGTCCTTGGGCCCTGCACCCTCATGGGAGACCAGGAGGAGCACCTGGCTCCTGGCTTCAGATCAGTGTGGTGCGCCGGCCGCAGCAGCCATTGGAGGGTGAACCAACAGTAAAGGAAGACCTTTCTGTCTGTCTCTCTCACTGTCCACTCTGCCTGTCAAAAAAATAAAAAATAAAAAAAAATTACTAACGTAAAACTTTTACATTTAACAATTTATATAATTTGTTTATTTGAAAGAGAAAGAGACACAGAAAGACAGACATACAGACTGAGAGAAATATCCAACAGCTTGTTCACTCCTAAATGCTTGCAACAGCTGGAGCTGAGCCAGGCTGAAGCCAGGAGCTTGGAACTAAATTGAGGTTTCCCAAATGGATGGTAGGGACCCGACTACTGGGCGCATTATTCACTGCCTCTCAGAATGTGTAACAGCAGGAAGTTGAAATTGGGAGGGGAGCTGGGACTTGAACATGGACCTAAGATATGGAATGCGGGCATCTCAAGCAGCATCTCAACTATTATGCCAAACACCTGTCCCCTGCTTGTACCTTGTTGTGGGATACAGTGCAATATTTTAACATATGTACACAGCATAAACTGATCAAATCAGTTAGTTGGCAATTGCATCTCCTTATTTCTTTTTATAATGTTTGGAGCCTGTGAACTCCTCTTTTAGTTCTTCATACAGTATGCAATAAATTACTGTGAGTTAAAGGTGCTCCATTGTGCTGGTGGAATACTAGTGTGTATTACTTCTCTCTAACAGTGTTTTGGTATCTGTTATCAAATCACTCTCAATCCCTCTTTACCTCACCCGTCCCAGCTTCTAATAATCATTACTCTAAGTTCAGATTGACAGGGTTCTTTCTTTTTATTTCTACATAGAGGATCTTAAAATAATTATATTTTACATATTATTCAAGATGACAATTATTCTTAGTCCATTAGGATTACTTATTTATGTATTTATTTGAGAGGCAGAGAGACAGACAGGCACACAGAGAGCACTCCCACCCACTGGTCCACTTCCCAAATTCCCACAAACTGAGGCAGGGCCATGCCAAAAATGAGCCAGGAACTCCATCTGGTCCTCCCATGTGGGTGTTAAGGGCTCAGCCACTTGAGTCAACACCTGCTGCCTCCTATAATTTTCAGTAGCAGGAAGTTGGAGTTGGGGGTGGAGCCAGGACTTGAACTTGGCACTTCCATATGAGGATGTGGATGTCTTAACTGACAGCCTAATGACTAGGCCAATTACTTGCCTCATGTCTAACAGAATTTAATACATTTTATGAGAGTCATATTGCTAAATGTGTATTTCAGGAAATGTATATTTATATTCGGCTAAAAACTTAAGTTACATATTTTGGCTTGTTTGGTGAAACTTGTACATTTGATAGGAGTGCCAGGTAGCTGTTTCTATCCTTCTATTAACATTTATTTTTTGTTTTATTTCTTAATATAAACACAGTACACACATAGTTTATTTCTCACAGTTATCCTGACAAATGAACATTATTCAGGAATGTACTGTATAAAGGTAAGAAAAAAGATACAAAATATTTTAAATAATATACAGAAATATTGCAGTATTAAAAATGCATGTGCACTCGTTCACTGTGTAGACTACATTTATTTATTTATTTTTAAAGATTTATTTATTTTATTTGAAAGGCAGATTTAGAGAGAGGCAGAGTCAGAGTCAGAGAGAGAGAGAGAGGGAGGGAGGGAGGGAGAGAGGTCTTCCATCTGCTGGTTCACCCCCCAGACGGGACTTGAGCTGACGCCCACATGGGATATCCGCACTGCCAGCGGCGGCTTTAACCCGCCGCCGCAGCTCTGGCCCCTAGACTCATTTAAACAGTTGTTTAAATAGTAATAAAAGTATAATCTTTTGGATCTTTTGCAGACTACAAAAGATTTGGATTTTAGTTCCTTTATTGAAAATCTTATTGGGGCTGATGCTGTGGCATAGTGGGTAAAGCCACCACCTGCAGTGCCGGCATCCCATATGGGCGCCAGTTGGAGTCCTGGCTGTTCCACTTCTGATCCAGCTCTCTGCTACGGCCTGGGAAGGCAGTTTGAGAGGACCCAAGTCTTGGGCCCCTGAACCTGTGAGGGAGACCTGGAAGAAACTCCTGTCTCCTTGCTTTGGATTAGTGCAGCTCCGGCCATTGCAGCCACCTGGGGAGTGTACCAGTGGATGGAAGACCTCTCTTTCTCTCTTTCTCTCTCTCCCCCTCTGCATTTCTGTAACGCTGTCTTTCAAATACATAAATAAATCTTTATAAAAAATAGGAAACTACTGAAAACAGTCAACCTTTAAAAAATCTTATTATTCTTTTCAAGAAGCTATAGAAATCATATTTCTTCTAACTATTTTTCTGAAGTCATGGCTGTAATTTGTTTCTTTTCTTATGTCTTTAGGTTTTAGAAAATAAAGTTTCCTGAGAACAGTTAAAAGCCTGTCATCAGAATTGTGAATGTCATCTTCAAGAGACTTCAGAAAGGCACAACTAAGATGCTTATGTAATGAGTTTTCTGCTTATTCATATTCAGAACTGGCCTTGTGAATAAAGACAGATGGCCCTCAAATGTTTGATAGTTGTCATGGTATGTCTCTTTGTAAACCTGATTTAGCTTTCTTAGAAATATGATGTGTTTATGATCTCATAAATAGCATTAACACATGAAAAATATATTCTTGAGGGAGTGCATTTCTTTATCATCTCAAGAGTTACACAGCTTCAAATTCTTTTTGTAAAGGCAATGTACTTAAAGTAGCATAAAATTTAGTATGTTGCTAAATTGTATTAGAAATTTAGTTTATTTCCAGCAAGAAAATTATGTACTAGAAATAATAGGTCTGTTAGTATAGTGAATTCTTAGTAGTACATGTGAAAAAATAAATTTAAAGAATATTTAAAAAGTGAAAATTTTTTTTGACAGGCGGAGTGGACAGTGAGAGAGAGAGAGACAGAGAGAAAGGTCTTCCTTTTCCATTGGTTCATCCCCCAATGGCCGCTGCGGCCAGCGCCCTGCGGCTGGTGCACCACGCCAATCCGAAGCCAGGAGCCAGGTGCTTCTCCTGGTCTCCCATGTGGGTGCAGGGCCCAAGGACTTGGGCCATCCTCCACTGCACTCCCGGGCCACAGCAGAGAGCTGGCCTGCAAGAGGGGCAACCGGGACAGAATCCGGCGCCCCAACCGGGACTAGAACCCGGTGTGCTGGTGCCGCAGGTGGAAAATTAGCCTATTGAGCTGTGGTGCTGGCCTAAAAAGTGAAATTTTTTAGGAAAGCAAACATCAGTTTTTTGTGCCTATAAAATGTTTAAGTTTAGGTGTTATATACAGAAACATATCAAATAAAGAAACATTTTATTGAACCATATATCCTTTGGAGACTTATCAGCAATGTTAGTATAGTCACTGGAATAACACCATTTAATAATTTCCCTATTTTTTTTTTAAAGATTTATTTTCTTTATTCGAAAGAGTTACAGAGAGAGGTAGAGACAGAGAGAGAGGTCTTCCATCAGCTGGCTTACTCCCCAGATGGCTGCAATGGCCAGAGCTGCGCCGATCCGAAACCAGGAGCCAGGAGCTTCTTCCGAATCTCCCATGTGGGTGCAGGGACCCAAGGACTTGGGCCATCCTCTACTGCTTTCCCAGACCATAGCAGAGAGCTGGATTGGAAGAGGAGCAGCCGGGACTAGAACATGCCCACATGGGATGCCAGCTTCAGGCCAGGGCTTCAACCCGCTGCGCTGCAGCGCTAGCCCCAGTAATGTCCCTGTTTAAAACGTGTGCATGTGCACTTATATATGTCTATATGTATAAAACATATATACAATTTTCAGAAGTGCATTAAGTGAACAAGTACTAAACTAATACTTATTAAAAAAAGGCATCTTGTGATTCTATTACATACCAAGCACTCTCTATTACTAGAAAATATCACATAGCTTTTGTTCTGGGGTCCACACTTCATGTAGGGAAGTAGATACATTAAAGACAAATTGAAGTACAATGTAATAAATGTTATTGTGGAGTCAAAATGCAAATATTGTAGATAGAGAAGACAGAGAGCTATGTGAGTACACAAGGGGAGTTTCTCCCAAGAAAAGGTACTTTGGTTGGATTTAGAACTTAAATAAATGGAAACCAGCAGGTAAAAAAGGAGAGAAGAAAATTTCAGTCTAGGGGAAGAAGTTTGAACAGAAGTAAGGACTCGTGAAAATGTCTTATTGATGCGAGAAACACTGTGTGTCAGGAGTTGTAAGTATGTGTGAGCCAGAGTGCCAGGAAGCGGGAGAAGGTGAGAGGCAGAGCCGACAGTACAGTGTGGAGCAGGTGTGAAGGAACTCGGTGTCTGTGCAACTGAGTGCACATTTTATTCAGATTCAGTCTGGTAAAATGAAAACGAAGCACAGGATTCCCTCCCGCCCTCCCTCCCTCACTCCTTCTCTCTCTCTCTCTCTCTCTCTCTCTCTCTCTCTTTTCTTTCTTTTTCTATTTTTCTTTTTTTCTATTTTTATCTAGAAGGAGCATTACTGGTAGCAAAAAGACTAGCTTGAAGTAGAAGGATATAGAAGCCAATTAAATGTTCACAATAATCCAAGAAAAGATGAGGAAAAAAGAGGAATCTGGAATTCCCCACAGAAACAAAGGAAAAACGCATTTGTTTTGCTAATAAAGCATAAAGTGCTTGTAGGGAAGTCACTCAGGTGATGCTGAAAACGTTGGCTGGGCCAGATTGCTAGCATCCTAAACTCTGGACAGTAGGAAACCTCAAGTTACCCTAAAGTTGGTCTTGAATTACCCTGTAGCAGGAGGAACTAAATTTGTATTTTAGAAAAAATTTTCCTGGATATTGAAGATTAGATCCAAAAGTCAAATTAAGAGGGATTTGCTGAATGGGTTGTTAATGGAAATGTAATAAGAGCCAAGCAGATAGCATAGGTAAGTAAATTGAATAGTGAAAAGTTGGAAAGGAAACAGTATGGGCTAATATTTTAAAAATCTATTAGCAATTGTTAGCTACAGACAGAGCTAAAAGTGTTTCCTGTTTTCCAGATGAGATAATTGAGTATTTGTATGAAATGAAAAGACCATAGATAAGGAGAACTGTATATTTAAGAAAAGATAGGTTAGAGAACAATCCCCAAGTGGAGGTAGATGGTACAGAGAGGAGAGTGTGGAAGAATTAATTCTGAACTGGGAAGAAGTAGAGTAATGCAGACTGTTGATGCACCTAAACACATGTTTTAAGAGTAAATTCTGGCTTGCATTTTCTAGACGGGGCAGAGAATAGATAAGGACCACTTTGAGGGTAGTGGCTTGGAATTAGCTGTGGTGTGGGAATGGTGTGGGAAACTGACAAGGAACCTCTCAGTGTTTTCCAATGGCCGTCTGCTGATATTCGAAACCCCAGTGACTCCAGTACTTCCCTCTCACAGGCTAGGTAAAGGAGGAGAAAAGGTGACTGTGAATCTATCGAAGGTAACTAATTTGTAAGTCAGGAAAAGGTGAAAGGAGATAGAGATGTGATCAGATATTGAAATTTTGAAATTATCTCAAAAGTGGGATAGTACCAGTCAAAAAAATAGGAAGAGTGCAAGGCTGAACTGAAATGGAGGTTCAATGGCAATTGAATAATTAATAGAGATTGTTAGAGATTTCTTTCAAAATGTACATATTCTTCAAAACCATCTATACACTTTTTTTTCTAGTCAGATGATTATAACACGTAGTGTGCCAGTGGCTTCTCTGACAAAAACATCTCGAGCAGTGATGATGATAGAGCCTGCAGGGCCATCCCAGACTGTGTCCCCTGTGCTTGGCGGTATGACATCACCCTATGTGTAGTAGCATATTATGAGAAAGGCCCTATTTCAGTGATATGCACAAACATTGCTAATGCAAGGGAAAGAAAAGGCTAGGAAAAATTCTAAAAATGGGAAAATGAGGAACAGTGTTTTTTTTTCTTCATTCTATTTGTTGAACTCTACTTAGTGTACGGATAATCTTATAAGTATAAAGTTAACTGAAAATAGATCTTTATAAAAATTAAGAATGGGAATAGGAGAGGGAGGAGGAAGACTAGGAGCATGGGCGGGATGGAAGGTAGTGTGGGAAGTAGCACTGTGTTCCTGAATCTATATAGGAGAAACATGACATTTGTATACCTTAAATAAAACTTAAAAAGAATGATAGAAAAGAAGTAATTGGTACAGTCCTGGTGTTGCAAGGTACCTTGGGGTCATCACCCAAATCTCCCAGAGTGGGAGTAGAATTCTGGGGGCTGCTGCACCCAGAAGGTAAGGGGAAACCCCTGGTTAGGTAGAGTGAATTAATATAGTCCCGGGGCTAACGCGCTGCAGGGGATTTGTCCTCTGCCCCACGAGTTGGTCTGACTCTGATGGCCTCTGGTAGCCGTGGTGCAGAGATCAGTTGTGCACCATTTCACAGCTGAGCCCATGCTCTGCTGGGGTGCAAGAGGGGATGGAGGCAATGTGGCTTCCCTGCTCAGAGCCAAGATGTCACTCAGACACTAGTCAGCTCCCCAGGTTGAAGTTACTGTCTGTGCGGCTGCGGCTGGCAGCCCCTCACAGCAACGTTATCCTACCTTCACTTGGTAAAGAGGCCAGTGTTAATGAGCCTTAACCTCTGCCTTTAGGGTGACAGGAAATTCGCTGCCTTTTGGCTGGATTTTTAATGGGTGATAGAAGAAATGTGTCTGGGTACAAGTTTGCGCCTTTCCTGCCAAAGCTGCCACTCCCCTCTCCAAGTATATCCCAGGAGGAAGGATATCTCAAATCCTTCACTCTTTCTCCAGTGCTGCTCTTAGCCTGTGATGAAGTCCTTATACACATTACGTTTTCATTAGTTACTTTTCCCCTTCATTAAATTCAGCTTCATCTGCCTGCTCTCCTTCTCAAAATGCCTGATTTAATTAGATGTTGATTATATCATTGTGTACTTTTTTTAAACTTTTATTTAGTAAATATAAATTTCAAAAGTACAGTTTATGTATTACAATGGTCTCCCCCCATAACTTCCCTCCCATTCGCACCCCTCCCATCTCCCGCTCCCTCTCCCATTCCATTCACATCGATTCATGTTCAATTATCTTTATATACAGATTGATTTAGTATATATTCAGTAAAGATTTCATCAGTTTGCACCCACACAGAACATAAAGTGTAAAGTACTGTTTGAGTACTAGTTATAGCATTCATTCACATTGGACAACACATTAAGGACAGAGATCCCACATGAGGAGTAAGTACACAGTGACTCCTGTTGTTGACTTAACAATTTGACACTCTTGTTTATGGCATCAGTAATCTCCCTAGGCTCTAGTCATGAGTTGCCAAGGCTATGGAAGCCTTTTGATTTAATTAGATATTGATTATATTATCGTGTACTTTTGAAACTTACTTTTAGTTTTCTTTGTTCTTCAGACTTACTGTTCACCACATACTGTTGTTTTACCATCTCATTTTTGAACTCTTAAAGTAATTCCATTTCTTAGTGTTTTCTCTACAGATGTTGTATACAAGGTGATTTTAGGTTGTCTCCCATTTCATAACAGGTTTTAAAAAAACCTTTTTTGCATGCTGTATCACATTATTTTTCTGCATTTCAAGTTTTATTTGTTATTGATAAACATGTATGTCTGCCTTTTTCTTCAATTTTGATTGAGCATGAAGGGGTTCCTTCTGATTTCCAATCAAATCTGGGGTCTTCTATATAAGCTACATTTGAAAGGTTGCATTTTGCCTGAGGAAAACAGTGACTATGCTGAAGGAGTATGGGGAAAGCTGCATAAAGCTCAAAGGTTGTGGAAGAAATATGGCGTGGCAAATACAGATTCCTTTACCCAACATGGACCACTCCCTTCCCCTAGGGTACCTTCCTGTATGGCCTAGGCAAGAAAAGTCACATTTCCAAAACTTGCTTGTAGCTAGTGTGCCCTTGGCACTCATTCAAATTCGCTTAGCCAAGATACAAGTATGTAGCGAGGCTCCGGTTTTGCTTGTACATACCGTAGCAGATGTGGCATTCCTAGTCCTCATTATAGCTAAAGTGTAGTATGTTACTAGAGCCAAAGGTTGTGGTGGTGACTTTCTAGTTCTTACATTTTTGCTAAAGTGGTGTTATCCAGGAGCCCACCGAGGCACAGGCAGCACTTCTTTTGGCAGACCACTTTGTATTGTTTGCTCTTGGATCCTTACGGGAAGTGCACCTGCTCTTCAGGCTGGCCCGAAGAGGATGCCAGCATCAAATAGCTAGATCCAAACACTTTCTGTAAACTGGATGGTATGATTGCCTTGATCTCAGCTGAGCCTGATGCTGAATAGAATTCTTGGACCAAGAATTTTTTCTTCAAGAAAAAGAAGTCTAAATCAAAGTGATGTTAACATATAGGAAATATGTTTTCCCCTATAATGAAAGTTGTTTTTTTTTTTTTTTTTTGACAGGCAGAGTGGACAGTGAGAGAGAGAGACAGAGAGAAAGGTCTTCCTTTGCCGTTGGTTCACCCTCCAATGGCCGCCGCGGCCGGCGCGCTGCGGTCAGCGCACTACACTGATCCAAAGGCAGGAGCCAGGTGCTTCTCCTGGTCTCCCATGGGGTGCAGGGCCCAAGCACCTGGGCCATCCTCCACTGCACTCCCGGGCCACAGCAGAGAGCTGGCCTGGAAGAGGGGCAACCGGGACAGAATCCGGCGCCCCGACCGGGACTAGAACCTGGTGTGCTGGCGCCGCAAGGTGGAGGATTAGCCTAGTGAGCTGCGGCACCGGACGAAAGTTCTTAAGTAGGTGAGATTCCAAGTTCACTATGATGAGCTACTTAATGATATCATCAAGAACATAGTTTGGAGGTGGGAATTCAGCTTAAACACCTGTAAATATATATTCCACCTCGGAATACCTGGGTTCCATACCAAGTTCAAGCTGCAGACTCCAACATCCTGCTAATGGAGTTCCTGGGGGGCAGCAGAGATACCTCGAGATTGGGTTCCTGTTGCCTGTGTGGAAGAGCTGGATTGTGTTAGCCTCCTCCTTCAGCCTCATGAGTTCTAGCCCTGTGCACATGTGGGGAGTGAGCCTGTGGATGGGAGCACGCTCTGCATCTGTCTCTCTGCTCGTCAAATACACAAGATTTTAAAAAATTCTTTATGTTTTCATATTCACTATGCTCAGCTCATCAACTCATTTATTTTATTGTCACAAGAGAGCATCTTGTGATAATTAGGACCTTTTGCTTTGTTTATGTCTTGATAGAGGGACAGGGTAGAAGAGAGGCTGTCTTCTCTTTCCCAAAAGCCATGCATGAACTTGTTTCCCATGCACCCAAATCACCTGTTTGTGAACTGTTCTTTGGCAAGGCTATTGCTGTGGATAATTGTGAGTGACTTTCATTAACCATCAGAGTAGAACCACTGCTGGGGACTTGACAGCAGTGTCTTCTAGTCACTCTCCTTTGTCTTTCCTCTCTTTTTTCCAGGAAAGCTGGAGCACAGTGGGCAGCTCTAAGGTTTTTTATTTTGCTGTTGGGATCAAAGATAGTCAAAAAGGCTTCTACACTTAGAATTCCATCTCCCCTTTGGGGCTGCTTAGACCTTCTCTCACACTAAGGTTAGAAATATGTGTGGGAAATTCTAGAATTTCTGACTGTCCCAGTCAACAGGCTCTCACTCCCACCCCTGCCACAAGTTTCTGAATAGAGTGAGAGGTCCAGACAGGTTTCCTAGGGATATGCAAATTGTTAGAAAATTCTGTCTGTTTTTATAATTGTTTAATTGCTTCTTGTATTTTTTTGCTATTAACTTAATTTTTGTACATATTTGTTTTTGGAAAGAGATTTTTAAGAAGTTTAACTTGAACATTTGACATCAGAATTCTGAAACTTTAAAGATATTCTCTTAGTACTGACTTTCCAAAGTTACTGCATTTTGGCCAATAGGTATGATGAGAAAATTTAAAATATTGAAACCCAGATTGTCAATAGGAACTAAAAGACCATAATTTAAAAATGCTATATCTGTTATTAACTGGAATATGTTCTCTTATTATTGATTATGAATATCCCTATGTATATATTATTCAGTCTTATTAATTACAGTATACAGATCCTCTCTGTCCTGGGGTATAGGTGTGTGTGTGTGTGTGTGTGTGTATGTTTGATCAGTGTTAGAATAAGATGTGTGGTGGCATTTGGTCTCAGGAAGGGCAAAAGTTCTTTCTTTTTTCCTAATCCGGTCTTTTACATTCTTGCTGTGGCATAATTATCCATCCATATATCAAATTCACATTTTAAAACAGAACACTTCTCAATCTACCACATCTGTTGTGTTTACACACTGAAAATTTTCACCAAGAATAGTAGACTTCATGTAATTCCCAAAGTACAGAACCGTGATTTTTTTGAACAAAGGTAGTCTCTTTTATAGTAGTAAATTCTTGGAAAAGTAAACTTCCTTTGACCATCAAATGGCTGTGCCATCACTAAGGATAGAACAATAAATTCTCCCTTCACATACATGCAAGTCACTTACACATGTGAATTTTTCTTTTTGTTAGAGATACACAAAATTGTTTCTGAATGGGAGCTAGCTCAGTTGGCTAAGGTTCGACCATTAATATTTGGTTTTAATGGACAAACAACCATCAAGGATTGTTTGAAAATGCTTGAGAAAAAAGTAGCAGAGTATGATATCATCAAGAAGTTTACGGTAAATATTTTGTTCTTAACAAAAGTCTATATGGTTTCTATTTCTATTTTTTAAGAGATTTTCTTTGGTCTTTTTTTTAATTGAGTGCATTGGTTTCATTTTCAAATATTATATATTTTTAAAGTTACAGGTGTACATGGTTACAAAAAATCATAATTATGAAAGAGTATAAGATCGGTAGAAAAACCTCCCCCCCAACCTCTTTCTCTTTAGACTTTACAGCTCCTTTCTACTGATAAGTTTATCATGGAATCTTTCAGAAAATTGTTGGCATGTATTTTATTTACTATTCTACCTTGCAAAATTTTTTTCCACATAAGATAAAATTTTCCAAATATATTGTTGGCATATCTCATTCTTTTTAAATGTTGCATGGTACTTAATTATAATTAAAATACCTTAATGTTTTTAAATACTATCTATATTGGACATTTAGATTGCTCTCATCTTTACTATTATAAAGATGTTTTCTTCAACAATGAGTTTGATGTTTATCTAATCTCAAAGCATCATGTGACAACCTCTCCCAATTACCAAGCTATATTTTAGCTATTTTTATTACTGTTTTCTCTCACTAGACTTAAGGCAGAGATGATAAAGTCAAAGTGAAACACAGCAGCTACTATCAGTGAATAAATGCCTCTATGTTTAGTAGATTCATTCAGATCTAAAATAACTTTATGATTCTAAAAGCAATAAGAACCTTCCCAAGATGGTCAAAAGAATTTTTCTGCTCTTTTCTGTGGGGAGAGTTGAGAGATGTGCATTGATGGATTCTTATGAAAATCAGGGAGATGAACTACTGTTAGACATCTTAAGAGTCAACACCAGCAATTCAGAGCTATTCCTGAAGATCCCGGTTATGCACTTTCTATCCTTATTTGTACAATAGTTCTCCAGGATACTGAAAGCAAGTTGCCTTTAAAAACAACCTCTTGGGAATGTAAGAGGATTGTACCTTAATATAGGGTACATATAACATTTGATATGGCTTGAACTTTTTATTCTGTATACAAAAAGTTGACAGCTAAAGAGAAACAAATAAGTAAATCTAAATGATGAAAATTAATCATGTACAGCTTTTTGCTTTTCTAAAAAAGTAAACTGTAATCCATCCAAACACTAATGCCCACTGATCTAATCTCCCTCAATATCAGTCTATTTAAGTGACAGTCATAGAAAGGTTCTTTGATTTATCCTCCACATATTTCTAGAATTTATAGAGCAGATTCTTGGAGACTCATCAAGAAAGGGAGAGAAATCATTTATTTCTCTTTCACTACAAATGCTGAACACTAAATGGGTGAATTCACACATCTCAGAACACTGCAGATATTGGTAGTCTTCACTTTACGTGGCTCCAATATACACAGATATCAGTTACTGTGTCTCCTTAAATAACACCAGCTCTGAAACAACTATACAAATTTCAGTTATCATGATATATTAACTGTGAACAGTTGCATGAAGTTAACAAACACTACTACTAACTCTTTATTCCACAAATAAAGTATGCAGATAAAAAATGTGCATCATAAGCTTTGAGTAAATGTGTCCCTTCCTTCAAGGTATGTTGGTGATTGGTCACTGCACCTGTTACCCAGTTCATGCACAAACAGCAAAGCATACAGCTGTGTTACCTCTTGTCTTCCAGTAATAAGCACACATGACATTTTACAAAAGTGGGTAATCAAAAGAGATGAAACTTCATTAGAGATGAAACTTCAGCAAAGAAACAAAAAGTGACATTCAAATTGAATGTAAAAGGAATAATAGAAGAAATAGCTGAGTGGGGACATGTTGACACTGCTGCTCTTCTAGTGCAGCCAAAGGGGATTGTCGAAAGGGAACTTATCAACATTAATGAAGAAAGAGGTTGAAACAAAAAGGATGAAGGGCAACCTACAGATTAAACAAATTTTGAAGCTGTGTCATGTCAATGTAGGTGCAAAGAATAAAATGGCAGAAATTGATTCCAGTTTAGAAAGGAGTATGACAGTTAGCCAAGGCATCGAAAAAGTGCTCACTCTATACTATAAATTCTATAAAGGAAAAAACACTGCTCAAATTATTCTTGGTAAGCTTTTTTTTAAATAAAGTATATGCCTTATTTCTGATGTCTTCAATTACAGTGTTCTAAAAATATACTGGTCTTACTATTTTTTTATTTTTGTAACTATTTAAAACTAGCAGTAAGGGAGCTTTTAACACTGACAATTTAAAAAATAATTTATTTATTCAAGAGGGAGGGAGGGAGAGGGGAGAGAGAGGGAGAGGGAGAGGGAGATTCCCTTCTACAGATTCAGTCCCCAAATGTCTGCATCAACTGGGGCTGAACCACTATCCCACTGTCGGTGGCAGGGACTCAGTTACTTAAGCCATTGCCTACTGCCTTCCAAGGTGTGCATTATTTAGGAATCTGGTATCTGGAATGGATCTTGGACTTGAAGTGATGCTACAGTATGAGATGTGGGCATCTCAACTGCCATCTTAACCACTCTATCACCCCAGCTTTGACAATTTTTAAGGGCCATGAAGCAATCTATTTTCCAGGGTGGGTGTTTGGTGCGGCAATTAGGATTCCATTTGGACCACTCTTATATCAGACTGGCTGAGTTTGAATCCTGGCTCCACTCTTGACTCCAACTTCCCGCTAATGTGCACCATGAGAGGCAGTGAGTAATGGCCTAAGTATTAGGGTCTCTGCTGCACATGTGGGAGATTGACATAAAGTTCTAGACTCCTGCCTTCAACTTGGCCCAGTTCAACTGTTGTGGGCATTTGAAAAGTAAACTAGTGGATACACAGTCTCTGTCTTCTGTCCAATCTCTCTCTCTCTCTGTCTCTCTCTTTGTCTCTCTCTGTGCCATAAAATACATAAAAATAATAAGTAACAATAATTTTCTTGTTGATTATTAAGATCCTCTTGCAGAATTTTAGATTGCATAACCATATTTATGGGTCAGCACTTCTGGAAAAAGAAAGAATGGACTTTCTTATGTAGTCCAGGAATTTACAATTGTTAAGACAAAATCTTGCATTTCTTTAACACCTCACAACTTAAAAAGCATTTTAAAATAATAAAGGGGTGGGACTACACCATATGTGAGGCTGTCGGCTCCTGGCCCAAAATGTTTTTTGTGCTGTTAGTTTCTGGATCAGGATTTACTCAAATTAGTCACAATAGTGACTAGATATCAAGTTTTCTACTTTTCAGAGCGTGTTTACATATATCTCATTGAGTATTCTTTGTAATCACAAGAAGATGTCAAGGAAGATGGTATTTGAACTTCAGGATTCAAGACAATAAGGAAAGTGTGGGGAGCAACTGGGAGCAACTTGGACTAGACTAAGTTACTGGAATTAAGACTTATTCTATGCATCTGCTCTCCCACAATATGGCGCTGGGAGAGGAGAAAACAGCTTCTACACAGCTGCCTCCAGTTCAACCAATAAACTGTAGGACCTGCTCCTGATTGGAGGAGAGCAGCGTGCTCGGCGTGTGGGTAGCAGAGTTGGGATTGGTGGAAGAGGACTATAAAGGAGGAGCGAGACAACATGCACCAGGAACATCTGAGGGAACACCTGTGCAGCCCCCGAGAGAGCCGGCCCGCGGTGTGCCGCTCCCTCGTGGAAGTGGGGAAAGTGGCTAGGGGGAACCGCCCTTCCACGGAGGTGGAAGGGTCGGTAGCCAACCCGGGAAGAACCAGCAGCAAACCCAGGGAGGGCCGAGCAGACAAAAGAACAGCGCAGGGTCCTGTGTCGTTCCTCCACGAAGACAGGGAGCGACAGAAAGGATAATCTTTAAAAAAATAATCTGGAAAATTAGCTATTCATAAGACAAAAAAAAAGAAATTTGACACTAACCTCACATCTTATACAAAATTAACTTGAAATAAGTCATAGACTTCAAAGAGTTAAAATCATAAAACTGGAGATTCCAAGACTAGGCATGCTAGCACTTGCCTCTTCCTCCTCCATAAAGAATAACTCTAACAACAAATGAATATTTGCAGGTAAGTGGCAGAGGGAGAGCAGTAAAACTCAGCAAGGGAGAGCCCAAAACCTGTAAGATACAGAGAACTACAATGGCAGAATACAAAGCAGCAAAGTGCACTGGCAACTCACCTTGGCTCTCCAGCTGGAGGGATGCCCCATTCCGGCTGAAGAATCACCCTGTTGCTGTCCACAGTGACATCCTAGCTACAGGGGAGTTCTAGCCATCAGAGTCTGAGAGCTAGTTAGGAAAGCTGCGTGGAGTCTGCACAATAGTTAGGCTTCAGAGGAGGAACTTACATTGTTTCCCCCCCACCCACCTCCACTGCCCAGGTTGCTGCAGCATGATGTCACCTTGAGAAGGGAGACACTGTGGTAGTTTGTATAGCCCCCAGACTATACAGAAGCCTCTGCATAGCCCAATCCCTGGAGCCCCATAAATACTCCACTGAGACCCAGCAGTGCATCTATGACCCCAGCACCCAAGTCCACACAATGTCTTGCACTGCTGCCTTCAAGACCTGAGAAACATAGACATTTGTTTCTTTTGCCACCCTGTTACTGTCAGTGGCATCTGACATCAGGGAGCCTGGACACACCTTTAGCTAGTCTGCTACGAGTGTTGCTCATCCCTGGCAGGGCCTGAAAATGCATCCACTAGTGGCCCCCAATGCTGGTGGCACTTGTCCAAGCACAGCCTGGAGAAACATGCCCCAGAGTCCACAGCCGTACTCACCCATGTGTGTCCTGGAGATTTGTCCTCCATGCTTTGAACTTCTGTCACCACTGCCGCCATTGCTGGTGTTCCCCACCAAGAGAAGAGATTGCACCAGCAGTCCATGAAGAAATGAAAGTCATGTCCATTTCCTTAATACCACCATTTCCATTGCTGGAATGGAAATATGGTGGGTGGCCTAACCTACTGTTGTGTGTACCACACTTTCCTGGGCCACGGGAGTGCCCATACCTCTGGGTTCATGAACACAGGCATTTGACCTTGCTACACCATGTACCATGTTCAAAGTCATTGCTTACAGCTAAAGAAGTTACAGTAAGACTCAACTATGACCAAAGCCAATATAGCCAACCAATCTGACAACCAAGATACATCTTCAGGAGAAAGCCTTTTAATAAACACTGGCAGAGACAGCTGCTCTGTCAAATGCACAAATATCGTTGTAAGGACACAGTAGGTATGAGAAGTCCTCAAAAGATCATGTAGAAGGAATTTATGGATTTAACACAAGTCTTTTGAAATACCTCAGACCAAAATGAAAAAAAAAATGTAGAAGAACAAGAGAAAGCGAGGTAAAGAAAGAAGAAAGCCTTTGAGACTTATGGGACACAATTAGATGAATAAATATCCAGTTTGTGTTTGTGGAAGGGAAAGGTCTAGAAAATCTACTCAGTGAAATTTTACCTGAAAACTTCTTTCATCTTGGACACTTAATCCTATCTGTATGATCACTGTAACACTTAATATGATCACTTTAATACTAAGATGGCATCCAGCTTAATGGGATTTGGAGTCTCATGGCAAGTTTTTAGCTTTACCCTTAAGGATAAGTCTGTAGGAATGTGTACTGAACTGTACAGCTCCTCCCTCTCTTATTCCTACTCTTATTTTTTAACTGGGATCCATTTTCAATTGGATTTATACACTTATGATCAATTCTATATTAAGTAAAGAGTTCAATGTTAATTGGAATTTTAAATAGAATCAAGATCCTGAAGCAAGCGATGAAACATGGTTTTACCAATACTAATTCGAAGACAAAATACCATCAAAACAATGATTGCTAAGAGGTGGAAGTGGTTCAGTCAAAGTAAAAGCACATCAGTCAAGAACAAAGATCATGGCAACAGGTTTTTGGGATGTTCAAGGAAGTTTGCTTGTTCACTTACTGAAAGGCTGAAGAATCCATTTGCTTCTTAGGAGGTGCTTTTGACAAAAGTTTGCCAAAACTTTAACAGAAAAACACCTGGCAATGCTTCACCAAAGAGTCATTCTCCTCCATGACAGTTATTCTGCTCATTCTTCTCATCATACATGGGCAACTGTGGGGAGCAACTCGGACTGGACTAAGTTACTGGAATTAAGACTTATTCTATGCATCTGCTCTCCCACAATATGGTGCTGGGAGAGGAGGAAACAGCTTCTACACAGCTGCCTCCAGTTCAACCAATAAACTGTAGGACCTGCTCCTGATTGGAGGAGAGCAGCGTACTCGGCGTGTGGGTAGCAGAGTTGGGATTGGTGGAAGAGGACTATAAAGGAGGAGCGAGACAACATGCACCAGGAACATCTAAGGGGAACATCTATCTGAAGGAACACCTGTGCAGCCCCCGATAGGGCCGGCCTGTGGTGTGCCGCTCCCCCGCGGAAGTGGGGAAAGCGGCAGGGGGAACCGCCCTTCCACGGAGGTGGAAGGGACGGTAGCCAACCCGGGAAGAACCAGCAGCAAACCCGGGGAGGGCCGAGCAGACAAAAGAACAGCGCAGGGTCCTGTGTCGTTCCTCCACGAAGAGGGGGAGCGACAGGCAACCTTACAGGAGTTTCAACAGGAAATCACTGGGCATCCACCTTAGCGTTCTGATTTGGCATTTTCTCACTTCTTTTTGTTTCAGAATCTTAAAAAATTCCTTAATGGCTACCCTTTGTCCCAGCCACAAATGTACAAAAGACTGCAATTGACATGGTTAAATTCCCAGGAACCTTAGTTCTTGAAGAGATAGACTAAATGACTGGTATCATTGCTTACAAAAGTGTCCTTAACTTGATGAAGATTATATTTAGAAATAAACGTTTTTATTTTTATCTTTTAGGTTTCATGAACTCTTTGAAGTTCTCTCATATAACCTACCAAAATTGAGCCATGAGACAGTAGAAAACCAGGGGAAACAAATAACAAGTAACAACATTGACTCTCTAATAAAATGTCTCCCAACCAAGAAAACCCAAGACCTGATGGCTTATTGCTGAATTCTACCAAACATTTTAAAGAGGAAATATACCAGTTCTTCTCAGACTAACCCAAAAGGTTGAATAGGAAAGAACTCTCTACTTATTCTACATGACCAGTATTACCCTAACACAAAAACTAGACCAGGACACACCATGAAAAGAAAGTTACAAACTAATAACCCTGATGAACATAGATGCAAAGATTCTCAAGAAAATACTAGCAAACCAAATCCATCAGCCCATAAAAATATCACATCATGTCATCAAGTGGGATTTAGCCTAGGAATGCATAAGCATGTTTCAACATATGTAAATTCGGCAGTTCAGCACATCAACAGATTCATTGACATAAGCTACATGATCATCTCAATGGGTACAAAAACTAATTTGATAAAATTCAACATCCCTTCATGGATAAAAAGAAATCCTCAGTAGACTAAGTATAGAAAAAACATGCCTGAAACAGTGAAGACTGCATATAACAACCTACAGTGAACATCGTACTTCCCGGGGAAAAGCTGAAAGGTTTTCCTCTGCTGTATGACACGAAGGAAGAAGCTCTTCCTTCACTGACACTGAAACAGCACTGGAAGTCTTTACCAAAGTGAAAAGCAAGAGGAAAATTAAAGGTGGGTGTTGTGTGGTTGTGGGGAGACACAATGGCCATGGAAAACTGGCAACACACATTCTTCCCTTCTGTTGTCATTTTTTTCCTGGTTTTGGCAAACACATCCTACACTGGCAATGAGTGAAGTTTTAAGGAAAGAATTGTAGTACTACTAGAAAAAAAAAAAACCAACAACAAGAGAGAGAGTCATTTAAGGGGATAATAGAATGCCCAAGGAAAAATTTTGTTTGGGAGAAATTGTATTTTTCTTGGAAATTTTCTCTTGCAAATGAGTCCTAAAATCAACTCTCCAAAGCCTACTTAATAAAGTACAAAATCCAAGTTGTAATACATTTTTAATCCAACTCTACAAAAATGGGACCAAGCACATCCATGGGAAACCTACAGCCAACCTCTTGCTCAACGGAAAAACACAAATTTGTGCACTGTAAATTCAGGGCAAGTTCCTGCCCCAGGCCCAGTTTGGTTAGGCTTCCGGCTTTTTCTCTTTCCCCAGGCCTTCATGTGACCTCACCCTTGTGCCTGTAGCCCCTACCTCCTGCCCCCCACCCCGTGCCCTACTGTGAACATGTCTCTCACTAGGTACAGAATTTTTTTTTAAGATTTATTTGAAAGTTACATAGAGAAGGAGAGGCAGAGAGAAATCTTCCATTGCTGGTTCACTCCCCAGTTGGCCACAACGGCCAGAGCTGTACTGATCCAAAGCCAGCAGCCAGGAGATTTTTCCGGGTCTCCTACACAGGTGCAGGGGCCCAAGGACTTGGGCCAGCTTCCACTGCTTCCCCAAGCCATAGCAGAGAGCTGGATCAAAAGTGGAGCAGCCGGGACTTGAACTGGTGCACATATGGGATGCCAGTACTGCAGGCGGCGGCTTTATTCACTACACCACAGAGTCAGCCCCTAGTTACAGAATTCTACATTAAGATTCATCTCCCTGCAAGCTTTGAAGAGGCTGCCCTGTTGCTTTCCCATACTTACTGACGCCACCACGCACCACTAGCCTGATTCTGCTTTGCATCTCTCAAGCAGCTTTTCGGTTTTTCTAGTCATATTGCATACACCCCAGTGTGTTCCTATCCCCTGCCCAGGAGTCGTGTCTCTCTTCCATTGGGAGAAATGATGAGGCAGTGTTACTGCTCTGACCCAAATGATCCACTCTTCATGGTGGAGGTTCTTCTGTGGCCCACTGTGGGAGTTAACTGGCATGGGCTCAGCCGTCACAGCTGCACTCTGCCTTGTTCCAGCAGGCTCCCTCTGCGGCTGATTGGCTCCTGAGTCCTATCTAACTACAAATTTCGTGTTCCGACAGTCCTGCCCCTTGCCCCAAGTGTGTCTAGCTGGCTTTGTATGTTAAGTACTCTGAGGGTATTAGTTATACTCGTTGGAAAGTCTTCTGAATGCCCTGTGAGTTGTATTTCCTTGCATGCACTTTCTCTGTTTCGTTGTGTCCCCTGTTCTAAGACGTCCGGCCGCACAAGGGGAGACTGTTGACTTCACGTTCACAGGCACTGAGCTCCGAGCACACATGCATCTTTAATAAAGCACAGGCAGGACAGGGCGTGGGGAGCAGAGGGCGGCTGGGTTGGGATCTGGGAGGAGGGAGCGGGGACTCCCTTGGACAGAACAACTTAGAGGATGGGCCAGAGGGGCGGGGCAGCAATGGGTTTTGGATTTGGTTAGCAAGAGCCAGGGGAAGAGAAGAGAAGGCTACGGCAGGAGCCAGGTCAGTGGAAGACATTGGTAAAGAACACCGGAAGTCCGAACACGTGGGTGCCGGAGGCGGTCTGCCTGACACGCAAGGTTGAGCCAGCTAAGGGGCTGAAACCTATGCACAGATAGACCTGTGGCGCCGGCTGCTCCAGGGCAGGCCTGTGCTCCCGGGCGGGGTGGAGGCTGTGGTCTCCCTGCGCTGTAGCTTCCGGAACAGTGAAGAGTGGGGCCAGGCTGGTTGCTGGTCTGACGGGGTGGCGTGGCTCCTCGGTGTGGTTCGGCTGCCTGTGCCGACCTGCTCCCTCTGGAGGGCCTGCCCTGCTGAGGCTGCCTCTTCCTGCAGGGTGGCCTCTTCCTGCAGGAGGAGCTGTGCGTGCGTACGCCCGGGTCTGGATTCTCATGGGTTTCACGTAAGCCACGGGTTTTGTGGGTTGGGCTGGTCCTGGGGAACCATCTGCTTCCGTGGGGTCTTCCTGTCGCACACCCGAGTGGCCTGGCTCCCTCAGAAGCGCAGCAGAACCTACAGAGAGAAACAGAGAGTGAGAAGAGGAGAAAAAGCCTTTGGGGAAGGGAGAACAGGAAGGCACTTGAGGGATGGCCCGGAGACGCTCTGCAGATAGAGGGAGGGCCACAAGACAAGCCCTTGCACGTGGGCCGTCAGCTCTGCCCAGGACCCCTTCAGGGCTCAGCACTTCCCATGATTCCATTTGGTCCCTGCAGCGGCCTTGTCTGTTGGATATTGCAGCCTGCAGGTGACCGAGGAGTGAATGGAGTTGGGAGTGCACTGGAGAGATTGTTGAATAAATGGCGTGGTGCTTGCCCTCACTTAGCGTAAACTTCAGCAGACAAGATGAGAGACCCAACAAAGACATACGGTGAGGCTCGCGAGCGACAGGTCAGGAAGTGCAGAACTGGGGGGAAACAAGAGAGGTGGCTCTGGGTGCAGAATGCGTCATTTCAGCTCCCTGCGCCTCGGTTCACTTTGTCCAGAAGCAGTATCATGGTGTGCCGACCCCTGCTGGTTACAGGCACTGCTTAGCTGAGGGCCTGGCCCAAGTGTGCATTCCAGCCTGTATGGGTGGGGGGAGGTCAGACTTGTTTTGCTGTAACAAAACAGCTTTTATGTTTTTGTAACATAAGCAGGACCTTAGTACAGGGGATGCTGGAGGAAGGAGAGCCAAGATGGATAGCAGGAAGGGGCAAGCCCCTCCAGACACTTCTCAGCTAAGCTGTTCTGGCCCCAAGCAAGACTACTGGAAGACTGACTTTTCCTTTTTTTGCTACTGGAAGATTTTAAGCAGTGAGGTGATGTCATTACAGCTGGACTTCAGAAAGTGAATGTGGGGACTAGGCAGGAAGTGGGCATGCCCAGGGACAGGAGATTTGAGGGACCTGAGGAAAAGTGACAAGAGCCAGGGACCCCCTTCCCAAAGCAGCCCTCTGTGGCCTGGTGACTGCTGGGCAGGGGACTCTGAGACCACATCCAGTGTCTATCTCCTGACGCTATTTGTGTGGCGGGAACTCTCTGCCCTCTAACCACCAGGGAAGGGCGGGAAGCCATTTCCCCAAGGTAGGGATCAAGGGAGGCGTGCAGGAGTGGGTGACGGAGAGGTGCTCACTATCACATTGGTCATATGCTGAGGACTCCTTAGCCCTGTGAGTCTGGAGCACAGTCTGGACCTGGAGTCGCCTGCACAGACCTGTCAGCTCTGCCCTGGTGGCACAGATCAGCCAGGGATGTGAGAGGGCCCTTTGGGACACGCGTAGCATTCAAAGAAAAGTCAGAGAGGAAAACCAAGAGGAGGCATCCGGACCCCTTGGGGAAGAAAACCAAGGCGGGAGCAGCCTGCTGGGGCTGCTAAGTGGGACACGGCATGTCTGTCCTGAGGCCATTGTAACTGCCCAGGGGAAGGCTGTCCCTGAGGATTTGTGAGGGCAGCTCTAGGGCAAGAGTCGGGGCTAAATCAGTCTCCAGGGCAGGGAGTGTGGGAGAGAAAAATGGTGCAGGTGATCATGGGGAAAAAGAAGCCAAGATCACACGACACCTGAGGGGGGCATTCCTGCCCACCCTCCTGCCCCTGCCCTCACCCAGGTTCTCGGCTAGGAAAACTCACAGCCACATGACTTGCCTCCCTTCACTCTACAAGCCCGTCAGTCTCAGCCCGGACGGGAAGGGTGTGAGACAGACGTGTGCTCTGTGGGGTTTTGTGGCCGTGAACAGCCCTGTGCAGCTCCTCTGACAACATATCTGCGTGCAGGGAATGGCGGAATCACAAAGAGACACAAGTCGTGCCCACGTCTGGAGCACGAAAGAAGAATTCAGGGACAGATGACAGAATAATAGATACAAAAGGTTAAAGTCTGCGTGTTTGAGCATCAGAAATCAGAATCATGGGAGACCCAGGGCATGGGAAGCCTATGCTTTATCGACCCGTCGAATAGTGCTTAAGTGACCCGTCAGAGCCATCTGCATCTACCCTCCACTACTCAGTCCCGTAGCCCACTGTGGCTGCGATGCAGCCCGGAGGCGTGGGTGAGCTAGAAGGGGCCTGGGGCCTGCAGGGGGCCTCGCAGGTAGGACTCTGAGGACTCCATCTGACCTGCAAGAGTCAGTGACCAGACACCAGTCCAAACAGCGATGGCGGGAGTGGCAGCACGCCCTGAGGGCCACGGCAGCCTTTCCGATTGCATAACACTACGTGAACCCTCTGCCCTTTCTTGGCCTAGATGCACCCCCAGAAATGGAGGTGGGGAGGCTGCCTTGAACTAGCTGAAGCAAGCAGAGTCCATAAACCCCAGATATGCAAGGAGCAACCCAATAGGAGAAAATAGCGAACAGTCACAGGCAATCTACAAAATGAGCAAAACAAAAGGTCTGTATACATCTAAGATGCTACACCTCACATATTAACAAAAAAATTTAAATCAAAAAAACTGAGATACTATCATGCATCTATTAAAGTGGCAAAGACGAAAAGATCCAGGATATTCCGTATGAAGAGGATTTGGAGAGCAATTTAGTAACAGCTACCAATGATCAGACCTTCCAGAAAAAGAGCAGGGTGAGGGTGCTTGGTTCCTCACAGATCAAGTGGTGTGCAGCTCCAGTGACAACGACAGTGTGAGGTTTACACAGGGGTGAAGGGTCAAGTGATGGAATCATCAGAATGCCTGAAACTAGACAGACATCTACAGAAGTTTTACCCGTGACAGAGCTGGCCTTGCACAGCAACTGAGGACTTTGCCTGGGAAACCTGAGCAGCCTAAAGGAAAACTAAACAGCAGACACCTGAGCACCCCCAAGTTGACAGACCAACCCTATGAAGTCTGTGGCACCGTGGCCAGCACTCCCCAGCCATGGGCCCCGAGCTCCCCCTTAGCTTCGAAGTGAGCAGCGAGCAGAAGGCTGCCAGCAGCAGAAGACGGTCCCCTGAGAGGAGAACCTAGACAAGCCACAAAGGCCGGCTGGGAGGAAGCAGTTCCTGCCATACGTGAAAGCTGCTCTCTAACTGATCCTCTCCAGAGAGAGGAGCCAGGAAACTGTACCCATGAATCAATTATACTGGTAAAGATACTTTTAAAAGGGAACATTTAGAAAACAAATACTAGAACTTTTAAACTTAAAATATGATAGCAGAAATTAAAATCTCCATGGAAGACATGAAAGCAAAATTGAATATATCTCCCAGAAAAGAGCAACAATCCAGAATATTGAAAAAGAAAGGTAATAGAATATAAGGAGAAATAAAGGCATATTACCATAAAATTTCTAAGTGCTGTAACAAACAGAAGACCCTAGAGCAGAGGGAGAGAGTAGGGGAAAGGAGCGGGAGTCAGAACGTCTGAGACATCTCCAAAGCAACGTTAGAACGTAGAAGATAGTGGAAAATATCTTCAGAATTTCAGGGAACACATTTCTCACCCCAAATTCAATACCCAACCAAACTACCACTACGAATCCTTGTCACACACGCAAGGCCTTTACAATTTTTCTTTTAATGCATGAATTATTGGGAGCCTGTTAGAAAACTTACTCTAAAAAAATAACGAAGCAAAGAAGAAAAAGCTATAGGAAATGGGATGAAACTTAAAAGGAGAAGGAAAGGAACTGCTTGTTATCGGCAAAGGGAGACCCCAAAATGATGGCTGGGAGCTAGCTTAGAGCAGCCAGTGTAGGTTGGAGCCAGTCTAGGCTGAGAAGGCGCAAATGATAGAACGCTTGATGGTGTTGGAATTCAAACAACTGGGGAAGAATTTCAGGGAATTACTGATCCGCAAGCAAAAATAATCCAAGACAAAGTCATGGAAAATTTAAATTGTGCGAGAGGGGAAAAGACATCTTAGTATTCTTCAAACATGACATTTTCAGCTGAGTTCCTCTGGGAGGTAGGGTGGGGCAGAAGGTGAGAGAGGGCTGGAATGGGTGGGTCAGGGCGTAGAGGGCTTTGCTGGTGCTGGTGAGAAAACAGGAATGGATACACTGGAGCTGATGCTCCTACAGCCAGCAGGGAAGCCCATACACAGTCTAACATGACAAACAAAAATCAGTACTGTGCAGAGATTATTTCCAGAATGAGAACTAATGTTAAACTGTTTAGGGGCCGGCTCTGGCACAGCAGGTTCATGCTTCAGCCTCCCAGATGGGCACTGGTTGCAGTCCCAGCTGCTCCACTTCCAGTCCAGCTTCCTGCTAATGTGCCTGGGAGGTCAGCAGAGGATGGCCCAAGTCCTTGGGCCCGTGCACCCATGTGGGAGACCCAGAGGAAGCTCCTGGCTCCTGGCTTCAGATTGGCCCAGCTCTGGCAGTTGTGGCCATATGGGGAGTGGCCTATCAAATGGAAGACCTCTCTCTGTCCCTCCCTCTGTAATTCTTCCTCTCAAATAAAATCTTTAAAAAATCTGGAAAAAAATCAACAAAGCCAAAAGTTCATTCTTAAAAGAAAGAAAGAAAGAAAGAAAGAAAGAAAGAAAGAAAGAAAGAAAGAAAGAAATGGTTTCCTCAGATGTAAGCTGATTATCCTTAAGGTGTGGGAAAATGAGAAAGGGCAGGGACTGCTGTGTCTCCTAATATGCCATATTCAGACCTCTGTGTTACACAAGGAAACACCGAAAGTATAGGGGGAAGACAGGAAAAAATCAAAAAGAAAGCAACAGGCATTTGGCAGTACCTTGATCACAGGCCATGGAGCACAAGCAACGCTGTTTCTGCGGCCTTTGTCCCTCCATAAGGAATCTGAGTGGGTAGAGAGAATTAAGCACATTAAGCTGGGGCCAGAACCACACCCTTGTTTTCCAAGCACCACACAGATCCCGTCTCCCCACGGCACCACTCACGGTGGGCACCGCTGCTCGCTGCCCTCCATGAGCCTGGCTGCATGTGGGCCACAGCTGAGGGGGCTGTGTGAAGGCTGTGGGCTTCAGAGGACGAGGAGAGGTGGGCATATTACACAGGGACGGGCCTAGAGCTCAGCTGGCCAATTCATTCCCATTCCTACAGGTAATCTCATGGGAGACATGAGATTAATGTTGGTCAAGTGAAGGAACAGTCCCACCCTAGAGGAAGAGGAACAGATGGGGGAGGGGGAGCACAGCCCGAGAGCAGAGTCCTACTGGCTCTTCCAGGGCTCCCAAGATTCTGTCCCCACAGGGACAATGCAACATCTGCCCGTCTGCATGGGGACTCCCAGACCAGTACCTGATCTCCGTGAGGTGGTGTTCTTTGCAGCTGGTCTTGAAGTCTGAGAAGCAGGAACCACTTCAAGGAGCTCCTTCAAGGAAGAGAGGCCTGAGGGTTTGGGAGTCTCAGAATAGCCACAGGATCAGGGCTGTGGTCCTGATGTCAGCCTTCCAATGTAGCTCCCACCAGGCAGGAAGGAGGGAGCACGGAGCAGGCTGTGACCACCCAGGAGCCCTGCAAGAAGCTGACTGCTCTGTGCTTCGTGCGCATTGTCTTTATATAGCTTTGTCACTCACCAGTTTGAGACGTGATTGGACAGAAGTGGAGAGCAGGGGTGGGACCAGAGTAGGTGGAGCCATGATAGGATAGGCTGGCTTGAATTGGGAAGATCACTACTGGGCTAGTCTTCTGCCTGTCAAATGGGGCCCTGCCATGATGAAGTTGTTCATAGGTGTAAATGATTGGTTGGTTGATGGATTAACCAAATCATTACAGGAGAAAATGCATACATAATTTTGATTTAGTTAACTGTTAGTGAAAGGGAGGCGTGGTCCCCAGGGAGTGACTAATAGACAGATCTCATTAGGTCTAGAGGTGTGGGTGGAGGGACATTTGGGCTGAGGTTTGAACAATTAGTTGACTTCAACCAGGTTGGGGGTGGGGGCAGGGAGGGGATGCACTACAGTGGAGCACGGGCTGAAGCCCAGATATGAGTGGGAACTCAGACCATTTCTGGAATGGAGGGGAGGCCAGTGCCAGCCTGAGGGGGCTCTTGGGAGTGGGGGCCAGGGACACCGCTTGATTCTGGGCTCGTTCTGAGGGCAGGGAGAGCCTGGAAAGGTGTAAGGCAACGGACAGTGATTAACCCACCCTGTGGCATGAAGGACAGAGGGTGTGCAGATCCCGTCAAGAGAGGGAGGAGCATGCCGCAGCCCTCAGGTTGAACTCAGGGTCTTGGGAGACAAGCTCAGGTGACGGATAAGGGAGCTTTCCATAGCTGGAGAGACATTTACAAAGGAACCAAAGTTGGTGATGGTGTGGTGAGGCCAGGAAGGGTAAGGGCACTGCCACGCTGATGGCCCCTCATGTCAGAACAGACCAGGCGCCTGCTCTGAGCAGGTTTGTGAGCCTGGTTGAAGGAGCTTTGGAGCGGCCATGGGGGAACATCAAGTGGCGTCTTTTTGATTGGTGAGGAGATGTGTGTGTGAGACACAGGCCACTGAGGTTCCACGTGCTGGGCACAGAAGAAGCAGTGTCCAAGAGGAGAATGTGGGGATGAGCCAGGACACAGGACGGGAACCCGTGGTGGTGTCTGAGGCCTTCTTCTACAATGAGCACCTGAGCAGTGCAGTTTAGGTAGGCAGTGTGACTTTTTCTTTTTCTTTGTGAAAAATCAACTTGATTGAGGTATCATTTGTACACAATAAAATACATTTGTTTTTTTATTTTTTTATTATTATTTTTTTGACAGGCAGAGTTAGACAGTGAGCAAGAGAGAGAGAGAGACAGGGAGAAAGGTTTTCCTTCCGTTTTCACCCTCCAGATGGCTGCCACGGCCGGCACGCTGTGCCAATCCGAAGCCGAGTTCAGGTGCTTCTCCTGGTCTCCCATGTGGGTGCAGGGCTCAAGCACTTGGGCCATCCTCCACTGCACTCCCGGGCCACAGCAGAGAGCTGGACTGGAAGAGGAGCAACTGGGACAGAATCCGGCACCCCAACCGGGACTAGAACCCGGGGTGCCGGCGCCGCAAGCCGATGATTAGCCTAGTGAGCTGTGGCGCCGGCCAAAATACATTCACTTTAAGTACACGACTCAGTGTGTTTTGATTAACGAAGTTCATGGAAATACATATTACGAACAAATGCATTGATTCCAAAATACTCTTGCACCAAGATGGCTTGTCTGTTAATTCCCCTTGTCCCTGAACCTTCTGAAGTCCTCTAGTACAGTCTCCCCACCACTGCAATTACGGTGCAAGCATTTTCCTCACCTAGACAGCTCCCTGGGCCACTGCGCTGTCAAGCCCCTCCCTCAGCCTCCGCCCAAGGCAGCCCGTGATCGGCTTTTTATCACTATTAATTGCTTTTTGCTTGTTCCAGGATTTCATATGGATGGAATCATAGAGGGCGTGTTGTTGAGGCTTACTCACGTTGCGATATCCATGAGTAATCCATTCTCTTTATGGCTGAAGAATGTCACCTTACAGAATACACCCCAGTATGCTTAACCTTTCACGAATTGATGGACATTGGATTATTTCCAGTTCTGGGACGTTATGAATAAAACTGCCATGAACTTCTGGGCAGACTTCAGCTTCATTTTACTTTGGTAAATATCTACTTTGGGATTTCTGGGTTGAATATAAAGTATTCTTTTAACTTTATAACTTCATTTAAAACTTAGCAAACTGGAACCAGAACTGGCACTGCAGGTTAAGCTGTAGCTTGCATCGCCAGCATCCCGTATTGAAGTCCTTGTTGCTCTGCTGAGATCCAGCTCCCCACTAATGTACTAGGAAAGCAGTGGGAGGTAGCCCAAGAGCTTGGACCCCACCCATTTAGGAGACCCAAATGCCGTTGTGGGCTTCTGCCCATCTGGGGAGTGAACTAGTGGGTGAAAGATCTTTCTCTCTCTCTGTCTCTCCCTTTTCTGTCACTCTACCTTTCAAATAGATAAAATAAATCCTTTTAAAATAAGCTGTTTAACTGTTCTCCCCAGTGGCTTTGTGAGTTTACACTCCCTCCTGCCTGGGAGGAGAGCTCCATTGTTCCACACCCTTGCTCTCCCTTGCTGACGTGAGCTACTATTGATGCTTCCCGTTTCAACTGTTCAGGCTGCAGAGTGGTGTTCCTTGGCTTCTAATTTTAGTCCCCTTCATGGCTAATGATGTGCGAGCATGTTGGTTTTTCTAAACAGGTGGTTTTTTAAAAATTATTTTAGAACAACTTTCAGCTCACAGAAAATCAGTGAGAATTTCTGGTAGGGTATTGCCATATACCCAAAACCCAGGTTAGCCCATTGCTGACAACTTATATTAGTTGGGTACATTTATTATAATTAACAAACCAATAGCAACCATTTTTATCAACTAAATTCCCACTTTTTTTAGCTTTCATGCTTGTGCCCAGTGGACTTTTTCTGTCCAGGATCCCATCCAGGATAGCACCTTGCAATTAGTCGTGACTCCTCCTGGCCGACGATTTCCCAGCCCACCCTTGTTTGAGGACCTTGACTGTTCTGAGCACTGGCTGGGCATGTTGTAGAATGTCCTCCATGATGGAATTTGTCTGGCGTGCTTCCGATGATTGCATTGGGACTCCATGTTTTTGCGAAGAAGTCGATGGAGGGAAAACGCCCTTCTCCACATGCCCTGTCCAGGTGTCTGCTGCTGGCGTGGTGGGCGGGCTGACCTTGAGGACCTGACGAAGGTGACTGTCAGATTTCTCTTTTCCCTTCTTCCCCTGCTGCCTCCTCGCAGGTCGCTACACACAGCCCACAGCTAAGGAGAGGGGGGCTTCCCTTCAACCCCTTGAGGGAATCTCCCCAAAGTACTTGGAATTCTTCTGTCTGGAAGATCTGTTCTCTGCCATGCATTTGTTTATGTCAGCATGGACTCAAGGCTACATGTTTTCTACCTTGGGTTATAATCCCATTTTTAATCAGATTAACTGCTGAGTAAGAAGTGGGTGGAGCCAAGATGGCGGAATAGTGAGGGTGTGCACCAACAGTCCGGGAAAATTTAGTTTAATAAAAGTGGAGTTACGGTAGCCTCAGAAAAAGGATCAGGAAAAAATTGCAGAGGAAATTCTTCCAGATCTAGTGGCTGTGACTTGTAGGACCTACTGGGAGAGCAAGGTCGCCCACCACGTGGAAGCTGAGCCATGGGAGCCGCAGGGTCTGCTCACCAGTGTGGGAAGGGGAGTGGATGTGACATAGACGACCAGCGGGGAGAGCAGGAATGCCCAGGGCTCCAAGTCCACACATAGGCACTGGAAGGGGAGGTGAGCTCAGTAACCTGAGACATTGGTGGGGAAACGGCAGTCAGAATCTAGAGGGAAGCGGGCTTGAGGCCGGAAAGTTCACCAGACTGACTACAGGAGAGAAGGAAAAAAAAAAAAGGTGTGGGGGGGTACTGGTACAGACGAGTTTCTCTCTCCACCAACCTTGCAAAGGCGAGCAAGAGACAAAGAGCAGGCCCCACTCTGGATATACATAACAAAAGGGGAGAGGTAAGGAACTGAGGCGCTACAATCCAGTAGCCTAGGCAACCCAGTGGGAGTCCACAGGAGAAACTGAGCGCGCACAGACTCATTGGGTAGAAGCCAGAGATCAGAAGCTAAATACCATCAGTTCTGCTCAGCCATGCGGTATTACTTACCTCCTGAATAAAAAAATTAAATAAATAAATAAATAAATAAATAAATAGAGAGAGATTTACCACGCATAACCTGAGTGTGTCACCTTTGCATACCCGTAACCTGGAAGAACCAAGCAGAGTTCTCAGGCCACAACCATCTCAAGCCTCCAAGGCTCCTCCAACAGCAGACAGTCCACTTAACACAGACATAGTATATATAAAAAAAAAAACCTCACAGTGAGGGAATAAGAATTAACAATGCCAAGCAACAAACACAAAAATCGAGGGAACAAGATCAACAATGACACTATGACGCCTCCAAATAAACAAAACATCCCAAGCCAAGATTATGAAGATGATGAGATAGAAGAAATGCAAGATACGGATTTCAAAAAATTTATGATAAGAACATTTAGAAGTTTTCAAAAGCAAATCCTTGAACTACAGAAATCCTTATTGGACATGATTGAAAATCTCTCTCGCGAAAATGAAATTTTAAGGAAGAATCAAAATGAAACGCAGAAATTAGTAGAACAGGAAAGTATGATAGTGAAGAGAAATCAAAATGAA